GTTCATAAATTACTGCATTTTTTACAAGAAATATAAATTTCACTAGCGAGCATTAAAAATTTTACAATAGTAAAAAAAAATAACTAAAAAAATATACTGAGCAAAGTTTCATTCATGCAAACACTAGTACTTCTCATAAGAAATAAAAAATAACAAACAAGAAAGAGTCAACATAATACCCCAGCTCTATAATGTATATCAGAGAGAATAGAGTCAAAGAATATCTACCAAAAAAAAAGAGTCAAGGAAATGGCGAAAATGAAAAAAATACAATTACTAGGCCAACCAAAGCTGAAATAAAGTCTACAAGATAATATCATTCATTGAAATATCTTTAAACTACGATCAAGACAAGGGTTTGTACTAATTGCCACCTAAAATAAATATATTATTTTATTTTATTTTTAAAAATTAAATAGGCCAATCTATAAGGCTTTAGGCCAGGCTTGACAAAATTAGCCTACGACATATTTGTTAAAAAGGCTTTCTTATAAGTCTAAGCCTACTCAATTTTTTAACGCATGCCGGACTAGGCCAGGCTCAATGTAGGCCGGGCTGTAGGCTAGGCTAGGCCGACCCCTAGTTGTATCCATGTTGTTATATATTTTAATAGTTTAATAAATTTCAAAAAACAAAAATTTAATATTAATTAAAAATTACTTGAGTTTTTTTAATTAATAATAGTGATATCTTATTGTGTTTAATTTTTTTTTCAAATGTTATCTTCTTCCCATGTAGCTGTTAAATAATTTTATTTTCGGAAGTTAACCTTTTCTTCAACTTCAAGAGTCCGCGAACTCAATTTACAAATTTAGTATTTTAATAAAAAGGGAAAAGTGTTTGTCATTTTAAATGACATAAAATTATGTCATTTTAAGAGAGAGATAGACACAAAATAAATTTTTTTATTTAAAAAAAAAAACTACCCACTTTCTCTCTCCTATGATTTTTATTTTTTGTGTCTATTTCTCTCATAAAATGACAAACACCAAACCCTAATAAAAATCCCCATATGTAATTGCAACGTTGGCAACAGTGGCGGTAACCATGTTTTATTTAGGTAGGGCCCGAGTTCCAACTACATTTTAGCAAATTTTATTTGTTATATTTAATTATATAAGTAATCATAATTAAGTCCTAGCTAAAATTGTAAGTTGGTCCAAACTAAAATTGTAATAGTTATATTAGACGAAAATTTGGATTAAAAGATTCGTTTCAAACTGATCGAACTTGGCCTTTGTATTTTGGGGTGATAGCTTGGTGTTTGTGGGGGGAAAGAAATAAGGCGATCTTTGATCAAACTATCACCTCGAAGTATGGTCTCATTAGGCCCATTACCTATACTTGTGGTAATATTCAATTGGCTAATGAAACCCTTACTAAGATTGGTCATCAGGAGCTTAGAAGAGAGGAACGTCTTATTCACTGGAATTTTCCCTCTGAGGGTTATGTTAAACTTAATGTGGATGGTTCCAGCATAGACAGTGGGCAAAGGACTGCATGTGGTGGAGACATAAGGGATGCTGCTGGGAACTGGTTAACTGGTTTTACAAAATTCCTTGGGAGTGGTACTTCTACTTCAGCTGAAATTTGGGGGTTCTTAACAGGTATGGATCTGGCTTGGCATAAGGGATTTAGGAGAGTCTTTGTGGAGGGTGACTCCAAGGTGGCTTTGGAATTTATAAGAAAAGGGTGTGACGTAAGTCATCCTCTTTTTGGTTTAATCATCCGAGCTCGTAGCATGCTTCAAAGAGACTGGATTATTCAGCTTAGTCATACTTATAGAGAAGACAATTTTGTTGCTGATTGGCTTGCTACTCATGCACCTCATCAGGATGGACAACTGATTGTGCTGGATGTCCCTCCAACGGCTTGTTTGGAATTGCTTCGTAATGACTTGAGGGGAGTTAGTCTCCTAAGATTGTGCCCAGTATAGGGCTTTTTTTTTTTATGTTGCTTTAGTTTTCATTGTATTTCCAAAAAAAAAATTTGGAGCTTCTTTGCATGTGATAACAGATTGTTTTCTTCTTAATTTCTTCTTCTACTTCTTTCATCTTTTTTCAATTAGGATTTTCTTCTAACTTTTTTTTCTTATTCGCACACACCACCCGGAATCCAGTTATTCTGCGACAAGGTATGATATTTCGTTCCTTTCTCAATATTTAACGAATACATGTTTTTGGAATATGCATTGGTAATTACATTGTCCGTTTGTGAAAAATCAATTTACATTTTTGAACCTTATAAAAGAGAAATTCTTTGTCATAATTTTTTATTGGGTGTTTCAAACATGAGTGAAATTAACGCCCTTTTTTTATTTAAAACTTTCTTTTTGTGTGGTTGAATTTATTGATTTTATTTCTTTTGAAAAATGGAGTGTTGTTTTACGTTTATCTTTTTAAAAAAATTATTTTAATGTAGAGCTACAGTTGCTATTGGTAATGAAATTGAATTGTTTCTTGGTGTTATTTGTATTTGATCTCACAACAGGAATGAAAATTTTGGCGATTAATCAGTGAAAACTGTAAAAGAAAAAAAATCAATGAAGATATATAATATATATGGAGTATGAAAATTTCTTGTACATACACATTAACATCTTCTTTATTTTATTTTATTTTGTATTCTTAAATTTTTTAAAATATCTAAACACTGATTAAATGATTTATGTGGATCTAATGTCATTTAAATAATTTTAGACATTTGTTGCTGATTGTTCCATGTTTCTTTTTTAGTTGTGAAGTTTGCTTTGTCTCTTTACGTTTATGTTCTTCACAGGTCACGGCTAGGGTGTAAATGAGGTCAGGTTAAGCTAGGCTTTGGCTTTGATAGCCTAAGTCTATACAAAATATTGAGAGCCTATACTAGCCTATTAGCTTATCAAAGACTTGATTTATGTGTTTGGTCTGACCTATTATAAAAAAATTAAAAAATCTAATACGGCCTGTAAGGCCTACCAATTAGTTGCAAACTAAAGTTTATAGGCACAAACCAAATTGAAATATAAATGATAAACAGTTTTATTCACAAATATCACATGAAATAAATTTTCATTAACATCACATGAAATAATGTTCATAAAGATTACATGAAAATGTTCATAAAAAATCACATGAAAATTTCATGTATGTATATATACATATATTTTGCACTTTCTTTACTAATTTAATATATTATATTTTAAATTTAAAATAAATATTTATTATTTTTAAAATAACATCAATCTATTACTTTGACAATTAGTGTTACAAATCATGATATCAGAATATGTCTTTAAGTGAATAATAATATATATCATAAATATATTATATTATTAAAAAAATTAAAATGTTAGCATGGAGATATGTCAAATTTTTTATAGTAGATTTGTGTAATTGCAATAAATATTTTGATAATTTGATATGTCAAATTTTTTGACTCCGGCTAAAATTAAATTCTGACTCCTCCGCTGATTGGCAAGAATATTTAAATTTAAATTTTGTTTCTTTTGAATTTTGATTATTCAAATTTTGATTTAATTGAGCAGAAAAATGAAGGCCTAAGTTTTGCACATAGAAACAAATTGAAACGAAATGGACTAGGGAGTCACGTGCAAAGTGCAATATGCAACAATCTGATATCACTAGATCGCCAGCACCCAAAATAGCGCTTGCTGTTTTTATATTCACCTAATAAGATTGTAGATTCGTAATTTTAACCAATATCATAATATATTTTAGTATTAGACGTAGTAAAATAAGTATTCACAAATTTCCACACCAAAAAGAAAAGTATTCACAAATTTTGCAGTGGTATAATTTATTTTAGATTTAACAAATAACTTTTTTTTTTGTAAGCAATTTAACAAATAACTTTAACTAAGCTTCAATCATCTTATGGGGTAAAATGACATGTAAATACATTGCAACAAGTACAACAACTGTTTGAAATAATTTAACATTACTTTCTTATTTTTGGTTGGTGATTTGAATATATAACACTAATAATGGAGAATTTTCGAAATTTTAACTTTAACTAAATATTAACGTAAGTTTTAATTTACTTTATCTTATCTATTATCTCATAATGGAATTGCATATTACCAACGGTTAAATCTAGGTTCAAATGTTATACAGTAATTATCAATTAAAATTTAATTTTTAAAACAGCATGGCTTTGAATTAATAGTTTAAAATATAAGGTTAATATAATTTTCAAATATTTTTTATGCTTTAATCATTATATTGTATCCATGATGTTATATATGATAATAGTTTAGTAAATTTTAAAAAAAATTAAAATTAATTAAAAATTACTTGAGTTTTTTCAATTAAATAGTGAAATTATTGTGTTTGAAAAAAAAAATCAGATGTTATCTTCTTCCTATGTAGGTGTGAAATAATTTTATTTTCAGAAGTTAACATTTTCAACTCCAAGAGTCTGCGAACTCAATTAACAAATTTCGTGTTTTTATAAAAATCCTCATATGTAATTGCAATGTTGGCTAGAATATTTAAATTAAAATTTTGTTTCTTTCGAATTTTGATTTAATTGAGCAGGAAAATGATGGCGTAAGTTTTGCACATAGAAACAAACTGAAACGAAAGGGACTAGGGAGTCACATGCAGAGTGCAATATGCAACAATCTGATATCACTAGATCGTCCGCATCCCAAAACAGCTCTTGCTGTTTTTATATTCACCTAATAAGATTGACTCTTTTCCAAACTTTATTTTTATGTCTTATCTTAATTTTTAAAACCCCTTCTCTCTACTTGAATGGATAAGTACCTAACCCAAATTATTTACCCAAAAAGAATTGAATTTACCCGGATAGCGATAAGGTAAATTAACGTAACAGTAACAGTTCTGTTCTGTCCTGTTTTAATGACATATCCAAAAACACCATCATTGAATTGAGAAAAGAAGTAACAACCGACACTCATTAAAACTAAAATTTGTTGTTGTTTTGTTTTTTTATTTTTGTTTTTATTTTCTCTTTGTTTTGTTTCCCAATCGAAAATGGTGGATAAACCAATGAGCAATCATCGAAGCGCGCGCTTCCCTCTTTCCATTACCAAGCTTCTCTTGTGTTCCCTTATCTCGCTGAGCTTCATTGTGTTTTTCTTGTTCGGATATCCACCCTCCAATGCTTCTTCCCCATCGCGCCGCTCCCTCCGCGGCGGAGCTGACTGGGAAAGTTCCGTTCTTGAATCTGCGACCCCACGTGTTGCTTCATCCAAAGCCGGTCTCAGGGTACTTGTCACCGGCGCCGCCGGTTTCGTGGGGAGCCATGTCTCGATTGCTCTGAAGCGGCGTGGAGATGGGGTTGTTGGCATTGATAACTTCAATAGTTACTACGATCCTTCTTTGAAGCGTGACCGCACCAATGTCCTCACACGAGAAGGGATCTTCATTGTCGAGGGAGACATCAACGACGTTACCCTCTTGAAAACTCTATTCAAATTGGTGAAATTCACACACGTGATGCACTTGGCTGCACAAGCTGGGGTACGCTACGCAATGAAGAACCCTTCCTCTTATGTTAATAGCAACATTGCTGGCCTTGTGAATGTTCTCGAGGTGTGTAAATCTGCGAACCCACAACCTGCTATTGTTTGGGCTTCATCTAGTTCTGTTTATGGTCTCAATTCTAATGTACCCTTTTCTGAGAAAGATCGAACGGATCAACCTGCAAGCTTGTATGCTGCAACAAAAAAGGCTGGTGAGGAAATTGCACACACTTATAATCATATTTATGGCCTTTCAATTACTGCTTTGAGATTCTTCACTGTTTATGGCCCTTGGGGTCGACCCGATATGGCGTATTTCTTTTTCACTAGGGATATCTTGAAAGGGAAGCAAATACTCATCTTTGAAGGTCCTCATCATCGATCTGTTGCTAGGGATTTTACTTACATTGATGATATTGTGAAGGGTTGTTTAGGGGCATTGGACACTGCTAAAAAGAGTACTGGCAGTGGTGGGAAGAAGAATGGGCCAGCACAGTTGCGGGTTTTCAATCTTGGCAACACTTCACCTGTGTCTGTGACACAGCTTGTGAACATACTGGAGAAGTTGCTCAAGGTGGATGCAAAGAAGAAAATGCTGCCAATGCCTAGAAATGGTGATGTTCTTTTCACGCATGCTAATATAAGCTTGGCCACAAAGGAGCTTGGATACAAGCCTAGCACAGATTTGGAAACAGGTTTGAAGAAATTTGTGAATTGGTATATGGAGTACTATTCTGCATCTGGGGAGAAGAGTGTTTGGTAAAGAGCATTACTGGAATGGATGGGTGGTAGAGTCAATTCCATTAGTTTTTCGGTTTATTTAATTTTGCAAATTGTTCTTGCTTTACTCTTCTCCATGAAAAGTCCGGTACAGAGATCATGGGGTTGCTCCACAATTTTACAGGGTATGCTAAATGTCTCTGGCAACCAAATGTTTATTCGCCTACGTATTCTTTTCCTTCTGATTTTACACTTTTGTTTGGAAAGTCATTGGTAGTTTTGGAAATGTACAATCTTAGGTTTGAACATATGTTGATCGGTAATTTAAGAGCAACTTCAATTTTATATGTTCTCTTAAGGGGGCTTCACTTATATTCTGGAATTAATGTATATTTTTCCAAATGTTCACAGAAACACACAACTCTAATCTTATTATGTAAGTTAGTTTACCTCAGATGTTGTGCTTAATGGGAGTCCACTGGAACTTTGAAATTATCGTTTCGTCTTAATATGAAGATGCCAATTGAGGTGAATAGATATTATGATAACTGAAATAGATTATTTTACTATTCTTTAGTCATCTCTTCTAAGGAACGAAGAATTATGGTTTATGATGTGCGAAAATTATAAAAAATTATGTTCTTAATAATGTTACTGGAGCTATAGTAATCAATCAATGAATATAAATTTAATTTTGCCATCCTTTAATGTGATACTCCTCCCTTTTATTTTTATTTTTTTTTCTAATACCTGTCAGATATAATACATTATCTCTTCTAATGCATTTTTTTTCTTGGAATCGCAAGCCCTGTATTCTCAATCAAGTTGAATTGAATATATCCAGTTAGATATCCAATTTTAACACTTTATCATTAGGATATTTGCAAACAACCAATGACATTTTGAAATTCCATAAATTTTTTATCTTGTTTAATTAACAAAATTGAAATTTATTAATAATTTACTTACTCCTCTCTTGGATACCTGATTGCACAATGTGAACTTGATCTGTTTAAAAGTAATAATATAGATGTTCACTTAAGTTCATGAAAATCTGATAAACCATTTTATCCAACGTTAACATAATTTAGATAGGCGTGCTTGATGGAATGGGATGAGCAGATTGTTGAGATCAGTATGTTGTGCGAGAATTAGCAGTGTAATGGGGAAACTTCTGATTAGCATGCGCTCACGGATAGACTGCACTCAAGAATGGTTAGGCTTGCGCCGTGAATGGGGGACAAGAATCATATATCGATCTAATTTGTTTGTTTGTTATTTTATTTTTTTATTTATTTTGGAGTTCACATGATACAGGGAAATTTTTTTCAATACATCATATGTATCCACTTGGATACATCTTTTTTCTAAATAGGAAAATTATTTTTACATTTATACCCTTGCTTTTCTTTATTATTCCCACTTAATCTCAAAAACTTTCCCCAATAGATAAAGATGTACCTACATCTGTATGCTGTGTTGGATTGGATTCATATCATCCCTCTTGTCTTCACATGTTTGGGCTGATTTAAGGCCTTGTTCAATTTTATTTTATATGTTGATTTTTATAAACTTATTAAAGTAATAAAATTAGTACGAGAAAGTCATTACTTTATTAATTATTAAAGTAAATTATCCTCTTTTCTTGCTCACTTTGTGGTTATATAATCTATATTGTATTTTCCTTATATAAGATTGCGTACATTATTCAATACATGAAAAATCAATGTCAAAATTGGTCTTTGTATACATAAAAAGAAATTCTTTATTGCTAATATTGTGTTTTTTAAAATAATATCTTTTTGAGATATTGGCAAATTAGTAAATCACAACCTATGTTGAGTGGTATGTTAAAATTCGAAACTGGGAAAAGCATTCTACCTTTATTTGAAGTTTCTACATTGTATTTTCTGAAGAAATAGCAAATTGCGGGAATGATTGAAATGTGAGAGCCAATGAAAACAACTACCACAACAAGCAAGACACATTAGGTGAAGTAGAATAAGCTATTCCATGTGCATTGTTGCAGGAAGCATCTATCTTTGATCCTGAAGAAGTTGAGGTTATGTTAATTGCATCCATGATGATATCAGTGCACCCTACACCCGTGCCGCAATCCAAATTGATCGCTGTCTCACTAGCAGAAGTTCCATTTACATCACGATATGTCACGTCACATCCTGGTCAATTTGTAGTTTGGTCAAAGGAAAGTCAAGACTATTTCCCGCTTGACCCTTGGAAGAAAAGGTTTGAGCTTGTAAATTATACACAAACACTTATTACCAGCATTATGCTCTCTTAAAAATCAATCTCAATAAAATGCCAAAATACTCTTTTAATACGTAACATTTCGCCTATTATTACCAATGGTAACTAAACTATGCATACATTTCTTTGAATAAATTGGTAGCTAAATGTTGCCACCTGAATTTTAATAGCTGGTTCACCTTCAAAATTATCACAGTACTTTTAAGTGTTTTTTAAGGGGGAAAAAAAGAAGATAGAGAGTTAGATGCATGTGGATATCATGGAACAGTGACCAAAATGTCACTGTTCACCAACTTTTTTACCTAAATGCCACGTGAACAGTGTTATTTTCCAATCTGTCTCGGGGGCAAGTTCGCTTCCCGGTGTAGCGAACTCGGTTTGCTGACGTGTCACGTTTCTAGTGGACACCAACTTGATTTTAACCAAGTTCGCCTACATGCTAGGCAACCTTCATTTTTTTTTTTTTTTTTTTTTTAAATTTAATACTTGTTATCCACTAAAAATGTGACACGTCAGCAAACTGAGTTCGCTACACCGGGAAGCGAACTTGTCCCCGTGGCAGATTGAGAAATAACATTGTTCGCGTGACATTTAGGTAAAAAAATTGATGAACAGTGACATTTTGGTCAGTATCCCGGATGTCATCATATACCGGATGTCATCATTTTGGTCAGTATACCTGCTACACGTTACCAACCTGAAAATGAACCGAAGAGAAATTGCAGGGACCTCTGAATTCAAGAGGATTCAACATGAACGTTTTCGTGGGTGGTACCTTAAGGGTTGCAGAACCATTATTCATCCCACAAACCTCACTCCAAGCTTTGAGGAACACCTTGTATTGCATATTATAATCCCACGAGTCCAAGTAAATAGTAAGAATTAAGCAGCAAATTTTGATTGTGGAGTCAGATAAATTAATGCACTTTTCTTGGCCGAAAATAAATTTATTCAATTTAAACAAAAATAAACATAAATAGAAAAATCTAACAACGATTTACTTGGGATTCATCTGCTTGGCCATCTCCAACCGCACCATAATCCATTACGTTGATAGTGGTACTGTCTACAGGAACTTCTAATAATTTCTTACAATAACAACATGAAACAAAGGAAAATATGAAGAGAGTGGCAACCTGAACTTGCATTATGCTTATTGAAGAACTAACGTAGAGACTATGAAAAACAAATTTCTCTAGTACATGTGATTCTTTATCGAGTGAAAATGAGCATGTTCCTGAATATACATGTGTCCATCCAATTTTATAACTAACAAGATGAAGAGTTTTAATACTAATTAAAGGGATTAGTTTATTCCATTCCATTGTAACAGAATTTCTTACAAATTACGAATATTGATTGTATTAATGAAAGTTTCAACAAATTCAAGAACAAAGAGAAGTTAAGAAAAACAAGGAGTTTTTAATACTAGTCAAATGGGATTAATTTATTCGATTGTTACGGAGTTTCTTATAAATTAAGAATATTGAATGCATTGAGTTTAAACAAATTCAAGAACAAATATAAAGAAAGAAAAACAAATTCATTAACGTTTATTTAAGTAGAGATGAAATGAGCATTCAATATTTCATTGAATCTTATCAGTTTTGATGACTTTGAACCCTGGCAAAAATCCTTGGGGCTGTACCTTCTAGGTAGGACAACAAACTTGCACATTTGAAAGCTAACTTTAATTATGTTAAATGAAAAAGATTTTTAAAAAAGAAAATCGCATCTTAGATTCCAATGCAGAAAACCCATGATTCCCCTAAAAATAAAATAAAAACATAAACAATACAAAATAAAATCCTACCCTTGAAATTTTCTGCTCTAAGCACTAACTATCCTTGAAACTCTTGCTCAAGCCTATATTTCAGCTTTTTAGCCAAACAAAAGCGCTTAAAAAAAAATATTAATTTGATTTATTTTTAAGAAGATATTTCTAATTTATACGGTCAGTTTCGCACATTTATTGTTCGAAACAATTCACACGTTAATAATGAAGGATTTAGTGCCAGTGTGAAAATCATTCACGTTGACGAAACTTAGTGCTAGCATGGAAGTCTCGCATGTTGACCATGCAAGACTTTTATGGCAATCTTTTAAGTCCCGTATTACAAACGTACAGGAGTTTCATATACATACATGTACAAGACTTCCACGTTGGCACTAAGTCTTGTACGCCAAAGAGCCTCACATGATCAATGTGCAGGACTTGTATGCTGACACTAAGCCCTATATGTGGAACTTGTCTCATACATTCAATGTCGCATTAGTTTGAAATACCTTTTGAAAAAAGAATTAAAAGATTTTTTTTTTATGAAATGCTTTTGCTTTCTCAATGTTCTGGCTGGCCACTATATAGGTCCACAGGTTAAACCCAATATATAGGCCACTTTTAGAAGAGCACCCCATACCTTTACCCTAGCAACAAGTCTTGTGCAGTGACAAGACGAGGTTTAGGTGGAACAGATTTTCTCTCTATATACCATCTTCCTCTGCTAAAGTAAAGGTATCTTATCTTCTCATTATTCATCTTATTATGAGCTGTTACTACCATAACCATGGACACATGGAAAGCTCCCACAAAGCCATGGTTCCTACTTTGATTGCTGAAAGCACCCCTATATCAACATGCTATATCTCTTAAGGGAGATATCTATGGCTTTACACAAACCCACAACAGCTCACTCAAAAAGTCCAATTGTCATTCTACTTTTATTCATACGAATGTGTTTTACCCTTAATCTTTAATTTCAAGCCAATTATATCAAATTTCCTAACATACTTTGAGGTGTCTCTGACAACAAAATAATACTGAAATAATCTAAAAGAGAAATACTTAAATTATCCATATTTCAAAACCGAAAGGCGTTGCTATAATAAAAAACTTGATACTGGCCAAGGGCAAGCACTTAGTCCGCAGGAGTTAGAGAGTTCACCGTTCTGAAACATCTTTATTTTTTACTTAAGTTTTTCTTTAATCAATGTGAGTTACACAATTAATTTTTACCCTTTTCCTTCTGCCAGTATAAAAGAGTCGCTCGTTTATGCACAATAGATTAACCGAAATGGTAAAGAAAATTCACTGCCTTTACTTTTAGTGTTCGGAAACATCTTTATTTTTTATTTAAGTTTTTCTTTAATCAATGTGAGTTAATAAATCCGGACTGGCTGACTCGGTCGACCTAAGAACTCATAAACCAGTCATATAATTAATTCGGGTGAAGTAACGAATCGGCCAAGCATTGAAATCGATGCGAATCAGTGCAATTCGGCTAATTTTGATGAAAACCGGTGATCCAACCCAGTTCATAAATAAAGAAATTTTCCAAAAAAAAAAATCATAAAGAAAATCTTTTTTTTTTTTAAATTCACAAATGATTTGTTTTCTTTTGAAATATTTGAGTGATTTGTTTATTAACTTACATAGGTTATATACCTACGATATTAATATTATCTTGGTTGTAGACTCAAGGAATTAAGATTTAATTTATATCTAGAGATGTCGTATACTAAACCAGACTCACAAGCATTATATGTTTGTTTGATCATTTGTTGAATAATAATGTAATTTATTAATTTTTATATTAAAATATTTAAAATTAGTATTATTTTTTTACAGGTATTTAAATATGTTTATAATTTTTTTAATATAAATTATAGATTTGCATATACTTATTGGATCATGCGGTTAATCCACTATTTCAACCAAATCAATGATCGAGTTTAATAACATTGCTTTTGACGAAAATATTTAATATGCTCTCGTAATACCTACATCCTGCCTATAACATGTTTCTTGAGGAGAAAGGGAAAAAAAAATAATTTTAATATTATGCATATATATTTTCAAAAATACATAGTCTGTAACTTATTTTTTTAAAATAAAAGCAATACCCTAGTACCCAGTACTCACTGCAGAAGAAATTCTCCCTGTAAACCAAATAAAAAATAAAAAAACTCTCCCTTTTGACGTCTTCAAACTCGATTATGGGCTGGTGACTGTGCATTCAAATTTCCATTTTTGGATAATGAGAAATTTAAGCATATTTTTCTTCCGCTAATGCAGAAGAGTCACTAATTTATACACAATAGATTAACCCTACACTCACATTTTTCAAATGGGTCCCACAAGATTTTTTTTCTCTCACTTCTAACTTGTTTCTCTTTCCTAACTCTTGTTTGAGCATGAGATAATACTTCTCTTATGCAACATAAGAGAAGTATTACCCTTAACCCAAATGGAAAAGAACAAAAGCTTAGCTCTTGATACATGTCAAATAGACCTATATTACTATGCAACGTTGTATGGTTAACCTTGAGCATATTACAAAACGTTAAAATATTTGTTAAATGAATTACAAAAATCACTTCAGTACCATCATTATTATTTTTTTTAAAATACAAGCAAAATAAAAGAAATCAGTACCATCATTTTATCATTGAGTATCGTAGCAAAAATTTATTAGCTATTAATTACTTAATTCTCATCTAAACTTTCATTCTAAAATCAACAATTATAAATATTTAACAACACAGCCCGTTTGTTCCTGTTTTTTTTAAACTAAAAAAGTCTATTCTATTATAAAAACTTATAAAAAACTTTATTGCTTTTAAAAAAAAAAAAACAAATGACAGTTTATGGGAAAAAAACTATAAAAACCTATATCAAAATGCACTTTTTTAAAATTTATACAAACGCATAATCATGTTACATAACACCACCTTCCAATAACATTTTGCCCTGACGTTATTTCCTTTCTTCAAAAGTAAGTTACATTAGGGGCCCGTTTGCTACGCGAAATTCTTAGAGATTCTTGGAAAACTAAATTTTTCTAAATTTTTAATTTTCAAATATTAACGTATACTGAATGTAAAAATCATATTTTTGAAAATTAAGATTCCCGGACAAAAAAAATTTCTCATCTACCAAACGCCCCATAGGTTCATCTTGAGCATTGGATTTGCAAGGGATATAAAAATGTGATATAACATCAAACCAAAGCTTACAATATTTATATGAAAAAATTTAAAAATAATTTGGAATGACATTTCTCATGGTATTCATTAATGTCCACAACCATAAAACAAAAGATAATCAAGTCATTACCACAATTAATGAACTTCAAAAATTTTAATGGAAAAAGGAAAAGCATTAACCCTAATGTATTGGACTCAACATATCCCGAGCCAAGAGGCTAAATTACAAAATAAACTAGGATGCAGAGAAAAAAATTAGGACAAAATCAAGCATCTGCAATGGTCACCTCAACCTCCACACCAGGTTCAATTGTGATTGAGGTAATCTGCTTAACAACATCAGGGGAACTGTAGAGGTCAATGACTCTCTTGTGCACACGCAGCTCAAATCTGTCCCATGTGTTTGTACCTGAAACCAGAAGCAGGTCGTGAACACAAGACAGAATCTCATACATTAAAAATGAAACAATATCCAAAAATACACCCAGAATTTGAAACAGGTCAGGACAGTTACAATAATCAAGGCCAAGACTAAAACAATTCTTCAATGACATATCTAAAACCAACAAGAACCAATCACATATCTCTCGCTAAGATAAAGTACAACCAAATTTGAGACATAAGTCAAGGAAGATTGAAGGACATAGGAAAAAACATAACCACAGTGTGCACTCACTAAACAACTTTTAAATTGATACGTGTACCTTCAAAACCAATATCATAAAACTATATTTGTGTTTAGAATCTAGCAGGCAATAGCACGTAACAAAAAGGGCAAGTTAACCACACACATAGTGGATCAATTTAAAGTAAGATTACCTTCTCCACAGGGGGATTTCCTAGTGGTAATGAGAAGAACTTTAGTTGGCATTCTAACAGGTCCCTTGACCCTGAGGCGCTTGTCCTTAGCACCACGAACCAAGTCGGTACAAACTATCAATAAGAAAAAAAAATACAGTGAAATGTAAAACCGAATTCAAGTAATAAACCAAAAAAAAAAAAAAAAAACTCAGAAAAAATAATAATTTAAGACTATGAATCCAAAAACGCAGAAAGAGTAAATTTTTTAACATGAGCAAGTCCAAAACAAGGTGGAAATAATAGAGAGGAGACATAGATACCTTTCTCGAGATTCTTGACATTCTTAGAGGAGAGAGTGATCCTAATCTTATGGATCTGCTCCTGCGACTCCTCCAAGCCGGGCTTAGTGGGTTTCATAGCAGCGTAAGCCATTGTTTCCTCGAAGCAACTATGGTCCCCTTTACACACACACAAAAAAAAAAAAAAGTAAACATAAAAATTGAATCAGAAGAAACAGAACACTTGCACAGTATCACGAATCACAATGAGATACCTTGAGAGTTAGACACAAAATGCGGCTATGCTCTCTTCTCTTGCAGATGGGAACGATGGAAACATATTCTAGGGTTTTCAGGATTTCGATTTTATATCCGTCGTTTTAGGATTATTTTTTTAATTGGATTAGATAAGTGGGCCGGGTTATCTATATCAAAACATTAAGCTTGGCCCGGTTGTAACCCCTTCCCTTACAAATACAAAACAAACAAAACATTCAATGGACATTATAAAAAAGAAATAATAATCTAGTAATCCCTCACTCAAAAACTAGTTTAAAAATATAACCCTCGAAATATATATTTAATTATTTTTAATTTAGTGTATTAAAGATTACTTTTCTTAACTCAATAATCACTTAAATTTCAAATGTCCAACAAATTTTTTTTTTTTTGATACACAATGTCCAATAATGTAATCCTTTCATCAAACTATTTCAAAATGTTCACATGTTATTTACCGTTGTTATTTAAAAGATAGACTAGAATTAAAAAATAAAAAATAAACTTCCGTGAGCGAAATTGATAAAATTAATTTATTAAGGGAAAACCAAATCGATAGCGAGTGTAATTTTTAAAGACTAAAAATGGAGTTTTTCATTTACCAAAAAAAATGGAGTTTTTCTCGTACATTTTTTTTCGAATCTTTACTCTTTTTTTTTATTCCAACTATTCAAATGAAATTCATTCTCATAGACTTGAACTTTGTTAAACTTTCACAACCATTAAATCATTCCCTTATCTTATATTTAAAATTAATTTTAAACAAATTTTTAAATCTGTAATATATATTCGGAACGTTATATATAATTTTCTTATAATCCCAAATTTCCTGGTTTATTTGTGACCAAAAGTCCAAACTTTTGGAAATTAGTTCTTCACTCTTATTTTTTTGCAATCCAAAATGAGGAATGCTAGAGAACTAAAAAAAAATCAACAAAATTTAATTCATTTTTATCGAAATTTAAGAATAGGTGTTGGATAATCAAGGGTAATAAGCACCAAAAGCATTCAACATTACGCGAAATTCTACTGTACCTTCAAAGCTTAGGTTTGGTACGCCTACGCAATTAGTATGCTATTGGAGAAAATAATCAATTGAAGCAGATACCAAAAGCATTTGAGGTAATTCAAAACATCCCCATCTTTTGCCTTTTCAACATTTTGGCATATCGTCACGGCCAAAATACATTGTAACCCCCAAAATGAAGAGTAGCTTTTTAAATGCATTTTGATACAATTTTTTGAATTCGTTCTTATTAAATGCTCGAAAATTAAAAAATTTATAATAAATTTTGCCAACATAATGTACATGGGCGTTGACTCAAATAAGTGAGTAATTCTCATCACTTTCTTCCATTTAACTTCCATTGAATTCTATTAAAATTCTGACTCCGATAGTATCATAAATAGAATCAATGCATAGGAAATGAATGCATTTCCATACTATATGAGTTAAGTGAAATAGCTAGCTTGTACAGTTTGGGGAAGGGTTTTGATTGATCAAAAAGAAGAATCTACTTCAACCGATATGCCCTTAGGCACGGTCATATATAACATAGGCACGAAAATCAATGCATAGGAAATGAATGTATTTCCATACTATATGAGTTAAGTGAAATAGCTAGCTTGTACAGTTTGGGGAAGGGTTTTGATTGATCAAAAAGAAGAATCTACTTCAACCGATATGCCCTTAGGCACGGTCATATAACATATAGCTAGAGCAGCGGGCGCTGTAGCGAAACTGATTGCAAAACAGTTCTCCATAAATAATCCAAACAAGGTTAAGTCTACTGAATGAATGACCCTGGTTCTATCTGAACCTGCTACGAGGTTATACACAAAGTTGCAAATCCTATCGGCATCGGAAATTTCTCCCACATAAAGAGGCATCACAGCTTTATAGTCAATATTCAGCTGCTTTCTTCTATATAGAAAAAGGAGAAAAAGGTTCAAGTAAACCACTCTACGCATCTAGTCAAATGTTTAGTTTACATATATAGAACAGGACTGCATAACAAACACTTGGTATGACTTTTGGACAACACTAGAATATGCAATTTTGAGGAAAACACGGGCATCAACGATGGGTGCCATCTACATCATGCTCGATCTCATCTGCATCCTCAAACCGTTGATCATTGATTTGAAGCTGCAAAAAATTAAACGAATAGAAATAAGGGATCATAGAGAAAACGAGTTATACAAACTGACAAACACCACAGGTTTCCACTAATTTACAGATGATCATATAAGGGCGACACTTTGCTGATCTAGCACCAATTCTTAAAAACAACCCAATCCCATAGGTACGTCCAAGATAAGCAAGAACAAAGCAAATTAAATTCCAGGTATATATTCATTCAAACTTCACAAGCCACAGGTATAGATAAGGTTTGGGATAATGTGCATTGGCTGTACAAGCATGGTGAATATCCACATCATCAAGAAGAGATACAATATTGCATAAATATAAAATATGCTTTAACCAGTCAATAGACTCAATACATTGCTTTTCTGTTATCATTTTCAAAAATCATATATTTTTTCAACATACTCGGAAAATAAATATTCCAGCTAGGGATTTCAGAAAATTTCGGATGAATCTCTTATTACCAAAGAACTTGAAATTCAAAAAATAAAATACAATAAATAGCATTATGCTTATGTTCTATCAGAACACATTGAAGTGTATCGTGCGATACAAGTCGATACAAAGGTTGAACGATACAAATTGGAGACATGTATCATAACATAAAACCTGGAATCGTGCGATTCAGGATCATATTGTGAATGGTATCAAAATTTGAGATTCCAAATTCAATCCAAAATTTGTAATTCCTAATTTGGAAATTGAAACAATTATAGAGAATTCAATCCAATATGACTCAAAAGCGATTCAAAATTCAAGTTAATACGAATCTAGAAAGTCACTTAAGATTAGGGAAACAGATACATTCAAATTCAAATTAACTCGAGTATGGAATTTCATTCAAATTAATATGTTAAGAAAAAAATAAAACACAAAAACAGAGACTTGTGCAAGAGAACAACTTAGAACATTCAAACTTCAGGACGCTCAAGAATAGAGGCTCGTGCAAGAAAACACTAAAACAAAGACTTTCGCTTTCAAACATTCAGAAAAACAGAGAACAACTTAGAAAACAGAAACGTCAAACTAATACATATAACTTACATGATATATGTTTTTAAATCATTTTTCATTATATTTATAAATTTTAAAATTTGATACAATTCACGATACAAAAAAGAGCCAAACGAGCAATTCAACAACCTAAAATTAATCAAATTATCATAAAATTGATCTTATCAACAAAGCATTATTTTTGCAAAAAGATATAGGGCTTAAACTCAGGGCCTCTCTACCACTCTGAAACACCACAAGTGAGAAGTATAAAATTCTTAAAGAAAGTGGAATTAGAAAAAAGAAGATGGAGATCTTTTGATGCACTCAAGGAACTACATAGTACACCCACGCCCACACACACACAAAGAAAGTCACAAGTAGAATAAAGCCCAAATGAAATCCCTGTCTATCTTGTTCTCATGACAAGTTCTGTAACAACTTTTTACAACTATATATCTAGCTCACAGCCTCATACAGTGTTTCATGCATACCAGAATAGAAGGAAAAAATAGATTTTGCCAAACTTGATAATAAGTTATAAAATGCATTGCACATTAATCTTCAGAGCTAGTTACAATTCTACACATCTCCTTTTAACAAAGAATGCTACCTAATCCTAATAGGCAAGAGTAATTTCATTCATTCTATATATTAAAAAGATAATAACAAAACAAAAACTTCAGGTTAATAAAATTCGCGATTGTGACTCGCACGCTAATAACCCCAGTCTTGCTTATCCCTATGTCCCCATGCCTTGCAAGCAAAATGAAAAAACATAATGAAGGAGAGAAATAAACACGCAAAATGAAGGAGAGCACCACAAAGACATAATTTAGAGAAATAAACCACCAAAAAATATCATAACATAATGATGGACAAGTTCAATGCAACAGTCATGGAATTTACAGAAACTTATACACTAGAACAGTCAGAATGTCGGAATAACAGACTGCACAAACAGAAGTAGATAGAGAATTAAAAGAAAGAACACCCAACCTCAAGTACCGTACGAGCTAGGTCATGGTCTCCATTTGAGTGACCAAGAGAGTTGGCTGGATTCTGAGAGATATAACCTTCCTCCTCTGGAAAAAAGAACAGGTTTAACAATAATAAAGTAACTAGAACAAAACATAAGAATAAATCCTATCAAAGTATTAGGAAACAAGTTTAAAGCCCCCACATATACCTGCTTTTTCATCTTCCATCTGATCAGCGCTGAAAACCCAATCATGCTCTTCTCCTTCCTCTAAAAGAACAGTATCAAAATAAACAACTCGGCAAGAAGAAAACACAAGAGTTTGTGTTGAATACAGTATGTTAAAACAATACTGACCATCATTTGGTTCTGGATTAAGCTCAGCACACTCACAGAAAACTTCAAACATAGCATCCACTGGAAACAATGAAGTGAAGAGTGATACTGATACATAAGAAAATCTTGAACTAACGAAAACAAGCAGGACGCTATGCCATGTTAGTAGAATGTAAAGTAGCTGGTAATGATAAGAAAATACATTGAGTAGGATCAGATGGAACGAGCCTCATCTCTCTGATGTTGGATAAATCTTGGACACCATTGCATTCTGAATCAGAGTTGTCGGAATTATCCTCGTCATCTGCTTCTGTTTCAATCTTGATGAAGAAAACAGACCAATCAGAATCAGAATCATAACAGGAGGGAATAATGAAATAAAATAGGATGCATGCAAGCATGTATACCTGGGTATATAAACAAGGAACAGGGTAGGCCTCTGGGTCTCTTGAGACAGCATGGAGTGATATGGATAAAAAATCAACAGCATATCCTTTAGTGTTGTCTACGTCACTCAACCATATAATTTGCCTGTGAGCAAAAGAAAGAGCAAAATCAGTTACTATGAAATTGAAATTGAAAAACGACAATTTGTGAAATTGCAAGGAAGCAGAGAAAGAGCATACTTGGTAGTAATATAGAGCGTGCCGTGTGACTCACGAGGAAGATTGCCCAACACTATGTCTACGCCAGGTTGCACACGCATCAACTCCTCCCCATTCTCACTATCGAGGACAGGTTCTCCGCTATACACTCTCACCCCCAAACCCATTCCTTTTTTCTGCTTTTCCCTCCCTCAGTTAGTTGCTCAGGTCTAGGGTTTTCAAGGGGTTTTGGAGGAGTGGGTATGAACTATGAACCTTCAAATTCAAAATTATAATTTAGTCCTCGTTTTTATTTTAATTTGACAACGCCCCCCAAATATATGAAAAATCGTAAATGCCTCCCCCTCCCCGTTATTATTTTAATTTTGATACAAAAATATAAATAATTATCCATTTATCCTTGTTTTTTTCATAGGATTTGGATTTAGCGATGGAATCTGAATTGAAGTGACCGTCTCCACTCCACTAAAAATACCGTTTTTTTTTTTTTTTATTTTATGAAAAACCCCACGCCTATTTGCAGGCTCCACGTTGCAAATCCATTAGTACCCTCCAAACGACAACCTTAATTTAATTAAATTAGATCCATTTTATTGTTTCAAAGTTTCAATTGAAGTTAGTCGTATGAGTTTGGGAGGATGCTGTGTTTGGGTCGAGTTGCTGCGATCTCATACTCAATAAATTCGTTTAAATTGTGCGATTCTCGTTGCAGGGGCAACAGATTCATCCATGTAAACACCCCAAGATGGCGATTGATGGCTTTAGAATCCGACTCTTCTTTTGCTGCACCCTCTCTCGATTCTGATGCTACCGACAAAAACGCTTCTGCTGGGTATTCTTTCTGCCATAACATAACCACCACACCTCTAATCGACCCTTTGCAAAACCTGGATGAGTGGATTTTTTTTTTTTTTTTTTAAATTGGGAATGAATAACCAAAATAAAATGATAGTATTCACTTTGTTACTTCTGATTTACTTCAGATTCTGCATCATAGAAGGGCCAGAAACAGTGCAAGATTTTGCCAAGATGGAACTTCAAGAAATTCAGGATAACATTCGAAGTCGGAGGAACAAAATTTTTTTACATATGGAAGAGGTGAGAAGCTCCATCTTCTGCGGTTAGTGCATTGCATAGCTTAGCAGATCATTGAAATCATCTTCAGTGTGCAATCAATCTGTGAGCTTTACTAGATCTAGCTCTCTTGAAACATTTTATGATGAGGATAAAGTTAGGTGGCTTAGTTGCCTAGCAAGCTCCTTTTGTCTTTATTGCTGTTTATCCATGGCATTACAGCCCCAACCCTGTTTTAAGTGCCTTGACTAGTGATGATGTTAATGTTATGTATGAGCTCTGATTTATTAAATAGCTGTAACTCATAAGTCAAAGATGAAGGTCAGATGTAGAATTTATCAAAAAATAAAATTTAATATTGAAGGAAGGATTATTGGAAATATTTAATATGCAAGTATAGGATGCTTTTCTGAATCTTGACATCTTATGTTTGGTGCTCTGATGGTTTTGGACTTTTAGTACAGTAGATATCTTTCTTACTGCTGCTGTTTGTAGGAACCTTTCATTCCAAAATGAAGGTCTTACAGTGAAACATTCTGGGAGAAAGGGTTCTACAGTTCGATATTTTATTACTTATAATTGCTCTGCTTTTGTATAATAGATATTAGGCAGTCTTTTTTTTGGCTATGGTTCTATCCTCGTGTATTAAAATTATGTTGATCTCATATTTTTTCTTCATCGAATTTCCATATTTAATACAAAGAACCTGTTCAAAATCCAAATTGACATTTGTGCATTTTACTATTTGGGAGGCCCTTTTCTCATAAGCAATACCCTCTTATTTTTGTAGGTTCGTAGGCTTAGGATACAGCAAAGGATTAAAAATGCTGAAATTGGATTTTCAAAAGAAGAGCAAGATAATGAGCTTCCTAACTTCCCATCATTCATTCCATTCTTGCCTCCTTTGGTAAGTTTCTTGAAATTAGTTCGAATTATCTCATTTATGCATTTAATAACAGGTCAGAGTGATTTTGTCATTGTTCTTAATGATTATGAAGAATTTATTTCCACTGCAAGGGTTTGGCAAAAATGGTAATTAATATATATGTATATTATTTACAGAGTTCAGCAAACCTCAAGCAATATTATGCAACCTGTTTTTCTCTTATCGCCGGGATAATTCTTTTTGGTGGTCTCCTTGCACCCAGTGTAAGGTTTTTCTGCACTTAGTTCTGTATTTTCAAGCTTGTATATGCACTCAAATTTCAAATTAGCAAGGAAAATTCTTTGTTGTTTGTTCCCATTGTAATTTTCTTTATCTAATTAGCTTTGAAGCAATTGACTATGTTTACTTTTTTTATGAAAATTATCCTCAATGTGAATCTCACCCTTGTACTGGTGAAAGAAACGTAATGTTACATACTCTGCTCCATTAAATTTTTCTTAACAACATCAACAACACCTTTATCCCAAACTAATTGAGGTCGGTGGTAGATGAACCCAAATGAAAGATACGAAGAGATTGAAAAAAAATAAAAAATGAAATTTAAGTGTATATATATATATATATATGGGCTGTACTTTTCTCCAGCCGCTTGACGTCCATCAAATAAATTCGGAGAATCATAACCATATTAAGGTGGGTGAAAATATTAAATGCGGGAAATTATAACCAATCAACAGTGTAAGATTTATTGTTGGACGTCCAGCAGCCGGAGAAATGATTTTATATATATATATATATATATATATATATAAGTACAAATAAAAAGGGTGTGGAAAAAATTAAATAAATAAATAAGTAAGAGAAAAAAAAAGATGGGGAAGGGGAAAAGAGATAAAGAAAAAGAAGGGGAAAATAAGGAGAGGGGGGAGATGAATAAGAAAAGGACTAAAAAGGAACCATCTGTAACATTAAATTTTTCTTATCAATAAGAAAAAAATGAATTTCAATTTTAGTTGATTTAAATAAGAGACTTTTCAGAGAGAGAGAGAAAGGGAAGAGCACAGACAAAGATTACAATATTTACTAATTACTCATAATAGTTCAATACACAAGCTGACCCTATACCTCTATTTATGGTAATGCTGCAACTGCATTATTTAAGTCTCCCATTCCCTTTACTTGGGGAGCACTTTACAAGTAACTAATCACTTAACGTCAAAGCGCTGTCCTTATTACTATTGTCTTAGCAATGATAATATTATTATTGATAATGCATAGTAAGCATTGCAAATTGATGAATACTGCATTTTTTTGTTTTAATTTATATCTTCCTTTTAATATATCATGCTTAACTTGCAAAAAGTTACTTCCATATACTCATATGAAGTTCATACTTAATGTTAAAATGAATTGAAATTTGGTGTACAAATTTCCTATTTTTATCCATCTTTTGTGCATTTAGTAAACATGAATTCCATAGTTTTTCAACTTTTAGTCTTTCTAACTCCTCTCATTTCGTTTCAATTCCCAGTTGGAGCTTAAACTTGGAATAGGGGGTACATCTTATGCAGATTTTATTCAAAATGTCCATCTGCCTATGCAGTTGAGGTATTGCCCATTTCCTGGTCTTTTGTTGCCTATTTACTTAATTCTTTTGAGTGAGCAATGGAAAATAGTGCTTTCATATTTGAACAGCTGTAGTCCCAAAATCTGATAATATTGGAGTTTTATGAATTGAAGCTACGTGTTATTTGTCTATGTATGGATATTAGTTTCAGTTCATTGCTGCTGAAATGAATATCAGTGCATTCTATTTATTGTTTCATATCCGAACTGAATTCTGTTGGATATTCTAGTCAGGTTGATCCCATAGTGGCATCATTCTCTGGAGGAGCAGTTGGAGTAATCTCAGCATTAATGGTTGTTGAGATAAACAATGTAAAACTGCAGGAGCAGAAAAGGTGCAAATATTGTCTTGGTACTGGTAAGATTTCTGAAGTCCAAACCTTTTCTGTGATTCGCATATCAGGGGTTGAACTTTTGAATGGAGAAATTGAAGGATTTTGTCATTCTTCCCTTGGTCTGCTTTCCGTTCTTAATGCACATTCTTACTAATTTCTACTTCTAAGGAGGAGGTGGTGAAGCAAGAATTTTGTCTATTGCAATTAGCAAGGGAAATATAAATCACAGAACCAAATGAAGCTTGGACGCGTTCTTGTATCATTCCAAATCATTTTCACGATCATCCTTCTTTCTTCGTAGTATTGGAGAATTCTCCTGATACTCCCTGACTCTATATGATGGATTTTCCACCATGTATGTGTCAAAGTGGGACACTTCTACTTTCTGTGATAACTCAGTTGCAGAGGATTGTTGGTTAGAATGCTTAGCTGAAGTCCTTATTAAACATAATGCAGAGCGTGATGAACTATTTATGGGTTATCACTCAGCTTTCATAGTTTGTGTTGCATTTTGTCTGCCAAATGGAGATTTTAATAATTTATCTGGTTAAGCTAACTGCAAGAAAGTTGACATACCCAGTATACTTTTGCTCTGTTTCAGGATATCTTGCATGTGCTCGCTGTTCAAGCACAGGAGCACTAGTTCTGATTGAACCAGTATCCACAGTCAATGGTGGTGATCGGCCTCTCTCACCACCAAAAACTGAGAGATGTTCAAATTGCTCTGGATCTGGCAAGGTTGGTCATTTAGAACTTAGGAGTATGGACTTCATTGTTTGTTAGCTTTGCACTAATTATATTCAAGAACTGCCATAATCTTCATAACTAAAGCTTGATGTTGCTCAATTTAATAATATTAAAATTATTACCTATAATAATAATAGTAGTAAAATCTTTTTCATGTCTAGACCTTGACTAATTGGGTATATGTTAGTTTACCTGCTATGTCCGCCGCAACAGTGATTGTTGAGAATTATTTTGTAACTGTCATGCTAAATTCTGGTTGCAGGTTATGTGTCCAACATGTCTTTGCACTGGAATGGCCATGGCAAGCGAACATGATCCACGAATTGATCCTTTTGATTAGAGATTTAATATAGATAGTTATCCAAAGCAGGCAATTGGAAATGTATAATTTGTGCGGTACATGTTTACGTGGTGGAATAATGGAATTTTTGTAAATATGTATAAATACGTAATATGAAAAAGAAAGCGCTTAAGAATATGAAGACAGTTTCCCTTTATTTTTGAGAATTGAAAATGGTGCAGCAAGAAGCTATTATGCTTACTTTTTGACAATGACTGCAAAACCTTTTTTCTGGGTAAACGATTTAGATTTTGGTTATACTGACGTGCTGAACGTTCTTATGTTTTTCTAGCCATTCGCAACTTCAGATATCGTAAACAGTGAAATCACTACTTTTGGGTTTCTAACTGTTGTCCTTTTCGGACTCTAATTGGATGGTAAGAAGAAGACATGTTGAATATTATGCTTTGATCGTACTGCTACTTGTGCTCAGACAGGAATTATTTGACGTATGGTTTTATTTAGCATATGAGTTCGTTTCAAGTATTAAGAATTTCCCCTTCTAATAAAATATAACAATATATTATTTTATGCAAGTGTAAATTTTTTTTATAACAATAATGCATTGAAACTTAATTTGCATGTAAATTGTACTTCCGTAAGTCAAAAATTAAAATATTGATTTCGTAAACTAATTAAATATTGGTGGAATAAAAAAAAAAATGAAATTTTTTATTATCCCATTTATCCAAGATCATGCAATTATCCCATTTATCCAAGATCATGCAAAGTACACTGCTGGTTGTTGAGATCAATTTGATTAAAGAAATTCCCATAATTATTCGTAGTTAACAGATTTTGAAATATAAAAGTAAACTAACTACAAGTAAACATTTGGTCTTGAAAATCTCTCTCCATATCTTAAACTGAAAACACCAAGAAGATGAAGAGAACTGTAGACGCCGAGATTGTGATCGTGGGAGGTGGTATTTGTGGCCTTGCAACAGCCCTTGCACTTCATAGGTTTTATCTCCAATCCCCACGACTACGCAAGCCAAATGCTCTATTCTTTTCCTTCTTCGACATCACCTTGTTTGTATATATGAACTGTTTCTTCCGTATCATATAATATTCCATTTGCATTAACTTACTTGCAGGAAAAGAATTAGAAGTTTGGTGCTAGAAAAATCAGAGAAGTTGCGAGCTACAGGAGCAGCTATAATCGTGCAGGCAAATGGCTGGCGTGCACTTGATCAGCTCGGTGTTGGTTCAACACTTAGACAAACTGCCATTCAAATACAAGGGTAACCTCCTTCTATCTCACACTCTAATATAATCCAAATACTAATACTAAAAAAAAAAAAAAAAAAATTTCCAAATACTACATAATTTAATGGGTTTACGACAATACAAGAATGTTTTGTTGGGGTGAGGAAATTAATGACACATAATTGGTGTTTGCCATGACCATAAAATTGCCATGTATATTTTCATTAGTTCAAATAATTTGCCTAAAGAAATATAATTGATGATATTTTGCTTTAAATATTTCAAATTATTTTCACATGAAAATATAAGGTTTATTGTTTCTCATGTTGTAGAAGATAAATTTATTTTCTAAACACATATAAAAATATGTAGGGTCTATGTTTTCTCTTTCTCTATTTTCTTCTCACATCGACCCAAATGGGTTCTACACACTTTTATGTATCTGTAAGAGATAAATTTTATCTCCTACAAAAAAAAAAAAAAAAATTATGAAACCGGAAATATAAATTTTCATTCTTCAGTATACATGCTTGTTTATTTTATATAAATCTTCTCTGGACAAATCAATTTTAACTGTATAACAAAGGAGTACAATTGACATCTATAATTAATGGATATCATTCACTTCTCTGTTATCTCGCAAAAATTATATTAAAAAAAGAATGAAATCTATGTTTACAATGCATAAACAATGGTTCGAGTGGATAAATAAATATTATCAATAGCGTCGTCATCTCATATTTAGCCGATAACATAACTAAATGTACTTTTTCAGCGGAAAATTCATATCGCTTAGCGAGGCAGAGCCAAAGGAAGTGCCATTTGGGTGAGTTGCAAAGCACTTTTCAGTGTACATAGAAATGAACATCTCACGGTTGACCTGATTTTGTTAATAAACAGGGTCAATCAAGAATTTCGTTGTTTAAAGCGTACTGATCTGATCAAAGCCATGGCCAATAGTTTGCCAATGGGAACTATACGTACCCGCTGTCAAGTGCTTTCCATTGAATTAGATCCTATAACACAGTATCCAAAGCTTATGCTTAGCAATGGAAGTATCCTTCAAGCCAAGGTATATAATATATGTGTCTTTTCTACATTCCCGTGTTTCAGAATCCTATATACCTTATATATATATATATATATATATATATATATGTCAAAATTATGTCCATATAGCCAAAGCCTTATTTTTTAATTTGGGGGGCTGAAAATGCTTGTTAAATTTTAATGACAAGTAAATCGATGTAACTGCAATACAACAAGTATGTGTTTTCTGGTGTCAGGTTGTTATTGGATGTGATGGCGTGCATTCTTCCATTGCAAATATGCTTGGGTTAAATTCAACGAAGCTCTTGGTCTTCTCTATATGTGTTGCACGAGGCTTCACAAATTATCTAAATGGTCATCAATTTGCTAGTGAGTTTGTAGTGATAAGCAGAGGTCAAGTTCAACTTGGAAGAATCCCAATGTCTGACAAGCTCGTTTACTGGTTTGTGACAAGACTAAGGACTTCTCAAGGTCATTAATTTCATTACCTCTCACTTCAAATATTCCACTTCTATTTTTTGGTTAAAAAAAATTTAAGATGTTTCTTTCTTTATCCCATATGCGGTACTCTTAATTTAGTAAACATTTTAAGGTAGAGAATTAATTTTGTTTCAACCTACTAAAGCAGATTCAATAATTTCAAAAGACCCAGTACTTATTAGACAATCTTTAGTGGAATCAATGAAAGGTTTCCCTGTAGACGCGATGTACATGATACGAAATTGCAAGTTGAACTTGTTGCATCTCGCTGACTTGAAGTATCGCCCACCATGGAACTTGCTTCTTAACAACTTTAGGAAAGGTACAGTAACAGTCGCTGGTGACGCAATGCATGCAACAGGCCCATTCATTGCACAGGGTGGCTCAGCCTCCATAGAAGATGCTGTTGTTCTTGCCAGATGTGTGTCACAGAAGATGCACAATGGTAAGAAAACGAGAAGAGAGCGATATATCTTAGAGGAAGCATTCGATCAATATGTGAAAGAAAGGAGGATGAGAATCTTGTGGCTCTCTTTGCATTCTTTCCTTGTTGGGAAGAAGCTTGAGACACAATCATTGATAGTGAAATCGATCATCCTTGCAATCATGGCTGTTCTGTTTAGAGACCCAGATGAACATACCCATTATGATTGTGGAACTCTATAGGAAGATGAAGGTTTAAATACTTTTGATTTGAAATAATCTCGTGCACATATCAGGCATGTTTACTTCATTTTATGGTGAATTACACTTTCAATTAATTTCGTCAAGTTTTCATCCAAGTTAGTCTTGGAAAAAAAAAATCTCCTCCCTCTATGTTTTAGAATACACACACTTTAATTATATATTGCGATAAGGCAAGACAGTTATTATGTATTGTAAGCAAGGTTATCCAAACTAACAGTCTTGCATCATCAATTCATCATCATAATCTACGCGGTCTTGTAACATACAATGGCAAAAAATACTCTCCAAGTTAATTTTTCACAAAGTATATAATCAAATCTTAGACTTATATAGACATACATGTGAATTAAAATTAAACCACTGCAATTGCATTTTCGAATTGACATTATTGTACTAATTAACAAACATGAATCGAAAGATTATAATTTAATTAAGTCTTCAAATAAAGTAAAACGTAGCAAACAATATTCAATCAGTATCAAAATATATAATAAATGTCTTTCTTTCTTTTTTTTACCCATAGTTAGGGCCATCTAATTATATATCTCCAACCTTGCACTTAATTAGTTTCAATTCACTAGAAGATGGGGCAATCATTGTTTTCCATAGCCCCAAAAGTCCATCTCTCCCCGCAATGAAAGCTGGTTGATTTGGTGAACAGACTGTGGATTTGCATCCTCAAACCTAACCCCTTTGGTTGAGTCTTCGTTTCCAAGATGGGTGGTCACTAGCCTATCAAGCACACCCCATTCATTCATTCCTTCACTTCTTCCAGCACCCATTTCTTGAGCTGGTTCGCACGAGCCAACTTCCATGCCAGGCTCCGAAACTTGGTATCTGAGGCCATCGCTGCCGCTCTCACAGTCTCTAGGGTTTGTCATGAGCTGCTTCGCTATGATAGGAGGGTCTGATGGCAAAGATGATGCATATGAGTAGTCATAAACCAATGGTTTTTGGGTATGAAGAAGAGGTTGGGACTGGAAGAGTGAGTATTGAGGGTTTTGCAAATGGGGATAGTGGAGAGCAAGCTCAGGTTTATCTAGCTCAAACCCTGATGGGTTCCTAGGGTTTTGTTGTTGATGGAGTAAGTACTGATTTTCCCTGTGCATGAAGGAGCGAGCATTGGTGCCTGAGGAATTGTTGGCTTGTTGGTTTGAGTTGTGTGTGGAGCCACCTTCATTTCCAATCTTGAATAGGTTCTTCTTCTTGAAAACCCTGCAAACCACCCAGCCATCTTCCTACAAATACATTCAGATAATCATTATATTTATAAACTTTTTTGTTTACAAACTCTTACAAACTAATTATATCTGACCGGTCATACACTAATTAGAGTATATGACCTGTCATACTTAGTGTAATTTGTAAACGAATCATTCCCCATAAAATATATGCTTTCATAATTTGATATCGCATGATTATTCACTGGCCCCTATTAGCTTTGAAAACAAAAATCAAACGTTAAAGAAATTAAACAAATAATATTTCCTACTGATATGATTTTATTGAAGGATGATTCAATATAAAATTGAAATTAATTAATGTGTAAGAGAGAGAGAGATACATTGTTGTTCCCTTGAGGATCATTGCTATCTTCGAGGCGGTACTCGTGCATGATCCAATCAGTCTTTTGTCCATGAGGAGCTCTGCCTTTGTAGAACACAAGGGTTTTTCTCATTCCAATCTTCTTGTAGCTGTTCCTAATGCACTTGTCTCTTCCTGTGGCTTTCCAAAACCCTGCATTCGTTGCTCTATTAGTCCTTGACCCCGTGGGGTACTTTCTGTCCTTGTGACTGAAGAAATACCACTCGTTTTGTGGAGTTGATCCAATTCTACATCTTTCTGTGTATCATGAAAAATTTAACATAAGCAAACACTAGAAATGATGAAAGTAACAATTGGTTGAAAATTTCATCAACATCTAACTTTCTCTCACGACACTTGTGTACTAATTAATTACTATTTCTTTTACTGGAGAGGGGAAATTATATATATGATCTAAACAATCGGGAAATTTTCGAAATTATAATTCAATATTTGACTTTGTTAGTTGATATGGCTTCTCTTAAACAAGAGATATCATTAATTTACAACGATTTGTCTAAATATCATGTTATCAACTAAAACGGTGATGCATTCTTGCAGGTTTTAATGTCTAAGAAATCTGAGGAAATTTAGACCTACAATTTTTTTTCCCTCACAATGATTTTGTTATTATTAGATCAAAATCAAATTGAAGGCTCTTAATTACTTCATATCATTTTATAACCATTGATTTGATTTGATACCATGATAACCAAAATAGTTGTACAAGATTACAAGAAAAAAAATATTAAAAATAATGAGAAATTTATGAGTAACAAAATACCTTGCTAATAAAATAACAACTGAGTATTCAACCGAAAATTAATGACGACGGAGTAAAAAGAGTATTAGATTTTTATTTTATTTTTTTCATATCGATTTAGGATCAAGCAAACCGTACGGTTTATCTTGCTTGAAATTCATGCTTACAGGAGCATAAAAGGGAGATGCGAATAAAAGTAAAATCAATTAAAATTTGTCTTTCCATAAGATTAATTGGCATTATAAAGAACATATGTTAACTTATAGTAATGGTTGGAATCATCAAAATTGAGCATTCAAAACCGATTGATTTGAATTAAAAAAAAAAAAAACATAATTATATATATGAAGAATCTTACTCGAAACTTAAAGAAACCAACTTCAGCTTATACAAAAATTTCCCTTATAAACATATTGATATATATATATATAAGCTGAAGCTCATCAAAGCTGAGAAGACCTTAAAGCCAAACAGTAAAACATGTAAGTAAACGATACTTTACCTTGCAAGTCCCAAGGCTCCATCTTGTTCAAGTCCACCTCTCTAATGACATCCATGTCAAACTTCTGAAAGGACACCTTCTTCTTCAAATAGTAATGAAGCAGTTCTTCATCCGTCGGATGAAATCTAAATCCCGGAGGCACACCACCATTAGAAGAAGCCATCTAATCTCCAAATTCAAAATCTCAATCACTTAATTAGGAACAACTAAGTGGCTTCAAAACTATCCAGTAACCAACATATATGTATGTAGCTCTAGCAAGATATTTATCTCTCTCTCTCTCTCTCTCTATCTATCTAACTTCAAAGGAACTCTGAGCAATCAATTTGTACGTGGTGTTGCAGGCACATGGCACTTATATACGTTCATGGTTGTCAACGCCCCTATCACACACTCTAACCATAGAAAGGGTTGACGGCCGGTGACTACGCCGACGGGAATGGTTAAAGCTACCTATCGTAAAATGCAAGTTTACGGAATGAATGTGACTAGTACGATCGTTATTTTCTATAGTTATCTTTTATTATTTGGAATATTTGGTTAATTTTTTAAAAATTATTCATAGGGTTCCCCACAATCATATATGGAGCGTAAGGTACACTCTCCTATCCGTAGTAGCCTTCACAAATTTAAGAAAAAAATGGTTATAATAATTGAAATTAGGGACATTATTAAGTAAAAAACAGAAGGTAATCTATTTAGTAAATTGGAGGAGGGTTCAAATTTGTCAAAAATTTGTGGAGGGTGAGCTGTGGATATGAGTCATTAGGTGCATATGTACTCATATGCGTGAAGGTAATATATTCGTTGCCCTAACTTGAGATCGTCTTAGCCACTAATTACTGAAACTTATATATACTGAATTTATTATGAACTTGTCCAAACTTCATTATTGTGTTGACGCGAACCTGACTTGCAGAATGTGCTTGCTCAATTTGTGGTTAAAGCTAGGGAATGATATTGTTAGTCAAAACCCTAGTTTGTGGTTTTTATTTTTTTTAAGGACGGGGGTTAATTCATGGTTAGTTAGCCCAAATAAAACCCAACCATGGTTAACGAGTCTTAATAGTTATCCATCGAGCTACAAAGGACATTATATTTGGATCAAAGGTCACAAACATTACTATTCATCACAATTAGTAACTTTCTTATGGTACTTGTGAATCAGCTACACTAAAAACCTTCTACTTCACTTCACCTTCCAAATTCGATAGCCATCTAGAGAAAATTAGTCCTGCGGGGATCGAGAGAGTCATCAAGCAAAAACCATATGGTGAATTGTGACATATATACACAGTTGAGGGTCTAATTAACATGCAATTGATCCATAAGTAGGGGTGTTCAAAATGTCCAAAAGAATCGAACCAATCTATAAACAAACTGCTCCACATTTTAACAATCGGATATTTTTAAAAATCAATTTCATATAAAACTGCATTTTATTTTATAAACTGGTTATTTACCAAACCATAAAAGTAATTGGTTATCCATAACCAAACAACTCTACAATTAAAGAACAAATAAATATTATTTTTGAGTATGCCTATTATATTAGTCAATTAACTCAAACATCTAAACAATAAACTAGCAGAAAAAGTTAAGCAGCTCAAGTAGAAAATATTATTTAAAAAAGAAAATTACACATAAATCGAAAGGTCGCATCCTAATAAAACACTTCTTATGTAACGTAACAACTTTTTCCCCCAAAAAAAAAAAAAAAAAACCACATACAAACCTCCGGGTAAACTCACAACTTGACAAGGCAAAGGCTTTAAAATGACAAAGATGAAGTTAAAAAATCATAATGAAAAAGGCAACGAAATTAATCAATTGGTTTAACGTCTCTGATGATTTTAAGATGATGAATCAACGTCGTTAAAATGACAACTCAAAACGGATTTACTTATTGGGAAAAGTGTTTGTCCTTTTAAATGACACAACTTATATCCTTTCACTCTCACAAAGAGGTGGGACCCACATCTTTATATTGTTTTGTCCATTCTCTCTCTTCCTTTATCTCTCTCCTCCTTTATCTATCTCTTTCTCTCACTTAAAATGACACAATTTTACATCCTTTAAAATGATATACATTTTTCCCTTACTTATTTGTTCTTTAATTGTAGAGCAGTTTAGTTATGAATAACCAATTATTTTATGATTTGGTAAATAACTGGTTTATAAAATAAAATACAGTTTCATATGAAACTGATTTTTAAAAATAACCGATTTTTAAAATGTGAAGTAGTTTGGTTATAGATTGATTTAGTTCTTTTGGACATTTTGAACATCCCTACCCATACCTTCTTCCATTAGTTCAAATAAAACTCTAAGTAACATAAATCTTACGAGAACGAAGAACAATTTTTTTTTTATAGTTTTAAAATATATAATTCAACTATTCTTCTACCAATCACTCTCAAAACAACGTGAAACAATTTCTATAAGAATCATTTCGTCTGAATAGTTTCAAAACAATGAAAATTCTTGCAAGAAATAGTTAGTCAACTACCTATAACCGAGAGAAACAAACGACTACTTATAAAATAGCACAATTCATCAAAAATCAATTTTTAATTTGTTAAAAAATCGATTTTGAACTTGATAACCGGTTTATTGTTCATAACCGGTTTTGATTTAAAATCGATTTTGATTTAAAACCGGTTTTAAATCAAAACCGATTATAAACCATAAATCGCTTTTGGAAGCGGTTTAGATAATTAAAAATCGGTTTTAAAAGAAGAAAACCGGTTCGGTTTGAAAACCAAATCGTTTAAAACCGGTTCAATTCGGTTTTTATTAAAACCGGTTATGAATCGCTCCATGCACACTCCTATCCATAAGTTAATTAACTATTAGTTGTCATTAACATAACTGATGAAGTTCATGTAATTGCTTGAGTTCAAATGATTACAACCGAATACTAGGGTGTAAGAACTATGGTCATTTTGCAAAAATAAATGAAGATATAGTGTGTATATATGAAGAACAGCTATGCTATAATGTTGAATAGGGTAATCCACGCGCTAATCAAAAGACTGTGGACTAGTCTTACAATATAAATTGGTTAACTAGTTTTCAGGAAATATTTATATCAGTAAATGATCCCGAGAATTAAAAACCAATATAATATAGGATATTTGATTGTTCGTAAAGCAATGTTTGGAAAACTAGCTAGTAAAGTTTCTTGGGATTTCCGCATTTTCATTGGACGGCTGAAGTTTTATTCTAAAAAAATTATTCTTATTGGACAATTTTTTATGTAAATTATTGACAATCATATAAACTTTTGGGTTTTAGTCTTAATTGTTCATAGAAACAGTTGGAGACGCAGTCGCCATAGCTGGGGCATGCACATGTGGGTATGACCTCAAGGGCTTTCAGATTGATTTGCTTGATTCAATTGCACGCTTTCTTTCTGTAATTTTTGTGATTTATTCTTTCCCTTCCCGTTGGGGTCTGCGAACTTGCATATCAATCTTATATATGATATGTTTTTAAAATTAAATATATATTGAAGTTACGTACAGAGGATATATAGTAGATTAATTTCTTTTCATTTCTTTTTATTTTTTATATTACTAATTTTTTGGGTTTAAAGTAGTTAAGACAAGAAGAAATCTAAAGCTAGCTAGCTAGCTGCGAGATGTCTAATTAGTTTCCTAACGTTCATTGAGTCGGTTACATCATCTTCAGAGAATGATTAGGTTAATTCATAGAAAATTTGACTCTCATAGTCATAGTCCATTTGCTTTCATGCATGCATGTTTCATTGATGACAGCTTTCCAGCCATTCTGACTTAAATCTGGTGGAAATTTTGTACAATATTAAAACCATATTTTAAATATGTGTGTGTGTGCGCATTCACAACTTTCATACCAATGTTCTGAAATATATATGGTTTATATATATCTTGGATTTGAAGCCATCTTTGTCTATGTTAAATTAGCGGTTTTATTATTGCAACATCCATGTTCACCATTTAAATATTTTTATCACTGATTACCAAAAAAAAAAAAAAAAAAAAAAAAATTTATCACTGACTCCTTTAAATGTGAGACTAATAATTTTAAGTACAGAATAAAATAGTTAATAAAATTATTTTGGTAAGTAATGTCTTCAGGATTCAAAATTTTATTTTTTCCTTAAGTGTACTTCAGGATTCAAAGTTAATTTTACCTCTCTTGTGGGTGATTATGAAGATTGATATAACTACATGCAATAAATCTCCTTGGAACAAAGACAAATTGTATAATTATCAAATTTATAATTTAAATATCTAATACCAACATCACAATCGGGAATATATATCTGAGACATCTTAGATTTTTTTGATTGTTCGCTAGATTAATAACTGAAGTGTGAAATTACCAAAATTTAATTTTTCGCTACTGATCAGTACAAAGACTAGGTTTATGTTCGCTATGCTTAAAACGGAACACTAACCAAATTGCCAAATTTTTTTTAATTTTCACCTCAAAATGTCATGCAAATGATATTTTTTACTAGATTGTCACACGTCGAAGTTGGCAAGAACTGATAGCAAACTTGGTTAGCCTATGATTTCATGACACGTGATATATTTTCGTAGAAAAAACTGACTGGATCAATTCGCTACCAGTGGTAGCAAACTTGGAACGTTGTATGCTAAGAGGAACGTGCCACATGGCCTAACAAAATTCATTACCAGTCGTAACGAACTTCGACGTGTGGCAATCTGATAAAAAATATTATTCGTGTGATATTTGAGTAAAAAATTGTGACACTTTGATCACTGCTCCGCTTCAAACCCTTGAAATGATATAATAATCCTTGAATTAAATGATAATTGAGAATTTTTATAAAATAATTACATATACTTGTATGAAACAACAAAAATTCACATGAAAAATAATTACTCTCTGTGTTTCTTTTTCTTTTTCTTTTTATGTTATTTTTCCCATCTATTTCTCTCCTTTTGCTTTGGCAATAGTTGTATTTATTTTATTAATTTGGGCCCATCTTAATTTCTGTTTCTTTCCATTGCCCAAACTGCTTCCGCAATCTCTTTTTCAAAGCCCAATCTCGTAATGCAAAACCCAATTATAGATAGAGAAAGAAGATGGAGAACAAATTCAAAACAACATTCAAAATAATATATTAGCTAAGGATTAACGCAGCAATTTACATCCCGACACATCCAAATCCAGGCTTACCCTAAATATTTACAGGTTGTATCTGTTGTTTGGTTCCTTGTGCAGCAAGTTGCTACTGTTTGTTTGATTGGGATTTGAGTATATGTTCCTTGTCGAATTCAATCTTAAACAAGAGTTTTGTTGGAGGGATCAACATCAACGTTTTCGTCCCAAATCCCTGGATCTCATTCTCCTCCGATCCATTAACAGGTGAGGTGTAGTGTATAACAATAACCACAATTGTTCATGTTTTATTTATTTATTTCATCTATATTCCATGAATTTCAATGTGATGTCTTGAGTGAGGTTTTGCCTTTTGTCTCTTATTGTACCAGAAAATTGTACTCGAGTTTAGATTAATCACAGACATATTTGACTTCTTAAAATTTTAAAAATAATTTTACCAGATCTAGTGTTTAGCAGTTTATATTTTTCCTTGGATTAATTTGGTTCGTTTATAAATGCAGCTTAGTTTTAAAATTTAAACCTAAATTTCATTACCGCAGCATCATTCCGTCCATCAACATAGAGCTAACGATTCTTGAACACTACTGACTAAGATTACCAATACCGCAATGCTTTAATAATCCATATATCTATTTTGGGGCATTTTCTTGAAACGCCCCTGGCGTGCATCAGTGCTCTACTTGAAAGAGATGCACTGCAAGTATACTTGATTTGTTGCTTTTTCATGCTTTCATTTTTACTGGAAATTATTTAGTCATTATTATGTAACAAGTGGCCTGCACAATAAGGTACAAAACCGCAATTAGAGATCATTTAATTTAATGTGAGTAGGTGCCACTAATGAAGAGATCGACTGTGTAATGGAGGTACCTGCACTGCCTATTACATAATTTTGTATGCTATTATGTGTATAAGTTTTGAATGAAGTTGTCGTAGTAAGTGGTTCAGGTACAAAGAAGTTAAGTTAAATACAATACGGCCTTTTCTATCCCATTTCATGTCATTGGTAGTAATTTGTTCTCTTAAATAAGGTTAATGGTACTTTATGTGTTTTTACTTGTTAGAATAATTCAACATGAGACTTGCTTCACCACCACACCAAACACCCAAATGTTAAGCAAAACTTTCTGACTTAATAAAATCTAAAAAGCAATGATGTTATGTTTTTATACAACTATTGTAGAACCTAATTTACTTTGTAATAGCATTTATATAGTTGCTTTAAGCAAAGTGGTTGTGGTAATCCTGTCTTAAGGTATTATTGGCTATCTACTTCACATTTTGTACCTATGGTTTTTTTTTTTTTTTAGGAAGTGGGTTATCTGCTTCCTGTTCATAATGATGGATTTCTTACTTTTTTCAAACATTCCTATACCTGTGTGTTATATCTATAGGATTTAAAAAAATATATAATGACTATAGACTACATTGTTATCCTGGCATTTGCTGCTTCCCCTGAGAATGCAGACATTGATTATGAAAGGTCAAGAGAAAATATGCTTGATGTAAACCTTTTTGTAGCCTGAACATTTGGGCATACCAGCATTTCTTCGTAATGAAGCTTCATGGCTGGTATGTATAGTTAAGATGTATATTTGCATTTTAAATTTGTCAATTTGCTGATGGCATGTGTGTTACATTTCTGTTGAGTAATTACATTGGATGTGCTTTGGCTACATTTAATAACTGAAGTGTGCAATTACCAAAATTTAATTTTTCGCTACTGAGTACAAAGACTAGGTTTATGTTCATTATGCTTAAAACAAAACACTAATCAAAGTGCCACACTTTTTTTTAATTTTTACTCTAAAATGTCACGCGAATGGTATTTTTTACCAGATTCTTACAAGTCGAAGTTCGCAAAGACTGATAGCGAACTTGGTTAGCCAATGATTTCATGACACGTGACATATTTTCATAGAAAAAGTTGACTGAGTCAAGTTCGCTATCAGTGGTAGCGAACTTGGTACGTTGTACGTAATAAGAACGTGCCACGTGGCCTAACCAAATTTGTTACCAGTTGTAGCGAACTTCGACGCGTGATAGTCTGATAAAAAATACTACTCGCGTGATATTTGAGTAAAAAATTGTAAAAATTGTAACACTTTGGTTACTGCTCTGCTTAAAACCCTTGAAATGATATAATAATCCTTGAATTAAATGATAATTGAGTATTTTTATAAAATAATTACATATACTTGTGTGAAGCAACAAAAATTCACGTTTGTGTAAATTACTCTCTCTGTTTCTTTTTCTTTTTCTTTTTATGTTATTTTTCCCTTCTATTTCTCTCCTTTTGCTTTGGCAATAGTTGTATTTATTTTATTAATTTGGGCCCATCTTAATTTCTGTTTCTTTCCATTGCCCAAACTGCTTCCGCAATCTCTTTTTCAAAGCACAATCTCGTGATGCAAAACCCAATTATAGATAGAGAAAGAAGATGGAGAACAAATTCAAAACAACATTCAAAATAATATATTAGCTAAGGATTAACACAGCAATTTACATCCCGACACCTCCAAATCCAGGCTTACCCTAAATATTTACAGGTTGTATCTGTTGTTTGGTTCCTTGTGCAGCAAGTTGCTACTGTTTGTTTGATTGGGATTTGAGTATATGTTCCTTGTCGAATTCAATCTTAAACAAGAGTTTTGTTGGAGGGATCAACATCAACGTTTTCGTCCCAAATCCCTGGATCTCATTCTCCTCCGATCCATTAACAGGTGAGGTGTAGTGTATAACAATAACCACAATTGTTCATGTTTTATTTATTTATTTCATCTATATTCCATGAATTTCAATGTGATGTCTTGAGTGAGGTTTTGCCTTTTCTCTCTTATTGTACCAGAAAATTGTACTCGAGTTTAGATTAATCACAGACATATTTGACTTCTTAAAATTTTAAAAATAATTTTACCATATCTAGTGTTTAGCAGTTTATATTTTTCCTTGGATTAATTTGGTTCGTTTATAAATGCAGTTTAGTTTAAAAAATTAAACCTAAATTTCATTACCGCAACCTCATTCCGTCCATCAACATAGAGCTAACGATTCTTGAACACTACTGATTAAGATTGCCAATACCACAATGCTTCATTAATCCATATATCTATTTTAGGGCATTTTCTTGAAACACCCCTGGTGTGTATCAGTGCTCTACTTGAAAGAGATGCACTGCAAGTATACTTGATTTGTAGCTTTTTCATGCTTTCATTTTTACTGGAAATTATTTAGTCATTATTATATAACAAGTGGCCTGCACAATAAGGTACAAAACCGCAATTAGAGATCATTTAATTTAATGTGAGTAGGTGCCACTAATGAAGAGATCGACTGTGTAATGGAGGTACCTGCACTGCCTATTACATAATTTCGTATGCTATTATGTGTATAAGTTTTGAATGAAGTTGTCGTAGTAAGTGGTTCAGGTACAAAGAAGTTAAGTTAAATACAATACGGCCTTTTCTATCCCATTTCATGTCATTGGTAGTAATTTGTTCTCTTAAATAAGGTTAATGGTTCTTTATGTGTTTTTACTTGTTTAGAACGATTCAACATGAGACTTGCTTCACCACCACACCAAACACGCAAATGATGAGCAAAACATTCTAAAAAGCAATGATGTTATCTTTTTATACAACTATTGTGGAACCTAATTTAATTTGTAATAGCATTTATATAGTTTCTTTAAGCAAAGTGTTCGTGGTAATCCTGTCTTAAGGTATTATTGGCTGTCTACTTCCCATTTTGTACCTAAGGTTTTTTTTTTTTTTTAGGAGGTGGGTTATCTGCTTCTTGTTCATAATGATGGATTTCTTACTTTTTTCAAACATTTGTATACCTGTGTGTTATATCTACAGGATTTAGAAAAATATATAATAACTATTAGGGGTGTGAATGAGCTAGGCCGGCTTACAGTCTAGCCTATATTTGGTCAGGTTTGACCTATTACAAATAGTAAAATAGAATAGGCGTAAGCTTTAAAAAAAACATATTCAGAAAACAGGCCATAGACTTTTTTATACATGTCGGGCCTATAAGCCTACAGGTAGACCTATATGATATTATTTATTTAAATAAAATTATTATTTTAATAATATTGAATAATAAAGTAATATTATTTTAGTTGTTCTTTTAATTGTTGAATGTTTAATAGGCTTAAACAGACTAATTGACCTAGACTAAGGCTTTTATTTTTTTAATATAGGTTAGGCCATACTTGTAATTTTTGCCCTACACAGGCTAACAGGTCAGGCCAGACACAATAATTTTTACGCATACCCGGTCTATTTAAGTTAAAGTCTAGCCTAGCCTATTTACACCCCTAGTGACTATAGAGTACATTGTTCTCCAGGCATTTGCTGCTTCCCCTGAGAATGCACATTGATAATGAAAGGTCAAGAGAAAATATGCTTGCTGTAAACCTTTTTGTAGCCTGAACATTTGGGCGTACCAGCATTTCTTCGTAATGAAGCTTCATGGCTGGTATGTGTAGTTAAGATGTATATTTGCATTTTAAATTTGTCAATTTGCTGGTGGCATGTGTGTTACTTTTCTGCTGAGTAATTACATTGGATGTGCTTTGGCTTTGACATAGTCACTTAATATCCTTTCATTATCTTATTTATTTTTCTTTTCCCTGAATCTTTTTTTTGCTTTTTATTTTGGGATAAAGGTGATATTGATGTTGAATCTTATACATCAATTTAAGAAAACTGTTATTGATTAGCATTGTAACTTGTAAGAAAGCAAGGAGAGAAATTTTATTCTGTAAACAGTAGCAGAGCAGAGAAAGAAACTTGGCTCACAAACCTTGAGAAACATACTCTCTTTAACTCATCCTACATATTAATCTTCAGCACCAAATCTGAAAAAACAATAAGACTTGTGGGGGTGTTTGGCAATTTTGGAATGGATTCAAACTGTTTAATCATGCTTAATAACAACTTCTTTTTTCGAGATAGAGTAATTCTTGATAAAAGAAACCCGTTACTTGTTTGCTATTTATACTGAACTAGAGCACAAAGAAAAAAGCTTTAGCAAGAGATATGTCTGATTACGTCTCCTTTCCAATTTCTCAGTCTTATATCAATCCAAGCCCTTCAGCCTTTCTATTAATAAGAACTACTGAGTAAACATACAATTTGGTTTCTAAAAGATGTTACTTGTGTCCCTTCAGTCCCGAAAAGTTTCAATCTATTCAAATTGGTCACCTCAAGGATGAATTGTTAGCAAGTTGACAACTTCGGTAGGGTGAACTCAATAGTAAGTTAACAATTTTTGGGACCAATTTGTAATGACGGAAACTCTTGGTGACTAAAGCAACACAAGTAACATATTTCAGTATCAAATTGTATATTTTTTCAAGAAATATTTATCAAAAGTATAGTTGATTTTCTTGATGGGTATGACGAATGTTGATTCGACTTTCCCTTTCCATGCAGAAGGAATTACCGAAAATCAATGCTTTGAAAGCCCCCACTTGAGAAACTCCCGAATATAATGATTTATTGTAGGGTCATAATGATGAATGTTGGTGTTTTAAATGAAAAGAAAGTAACCATTCTCTTCGCTTTGTGTTTTCCTCTACAAATTTTTTTGTTATTAGTCAATTTCTTTTTCCATCAATGTGCATGTTGGAATATAATCTGTTATTATAAAGCCTTTTGGTTTGTCACTTTAAGGCTAATCCTCCACAACTGCATTCTAACCTCATTCATCCAGTTGTACCGATGGCAAGCAAAAGTTATCTTAGGAGCTGCATATTATTCCACAAATCTTGTGTAAGCCATGGCATTTACAGTTGACTTAATGCTACAGCCCTATCATATTTGAGGAGAGCATGCAAGTAGCCAAATTGACCAGTAAAGTAACAAGTGAATCATCTTCCACATCACAAATGAGCCGGCAAGGTGAGACTGAGTGCAGTCCATCGTAGCAAATGTACAACCCACTTGAAAAAAATGGAGGTTAGTTTGACTGATTTCCAAAGTGTTGCTTGTTTGATTTATTACTTGCTGGATTACCTGCACCTATAGCAATCATTCTAACCCCTTAGCTGTTTTTCTCATTATGCCGCTTGGATCAAATTATCAATATATGGAATATATGGAAGCAAAGAGCTGAGAGTTGGCAGAGAGAGATTTGGACAGATTATCAAGCCTCTACAAGGACTTAGTTGCAAAGTTCACTAGCCTGCTTAAAGCTATCGGTTACCTTTCAAATTCAGAGGAAGAACCACTCTATCGTCATCTAGAAATACTACAAGCAGCAGAAAACCCACTTGTATGGCAGCACCATGGAACCATAAGTACAAAAGAAGCACGCCCGGATGAATGGTATGAAATTGAATATTTATTTCTACTGCCGTCTTAGAAGCTTATAGTCACCTAATTCCTAAATTTATTTGTGTGCTAGTCTTTGAATTTATAAAACTTGTATCACGCCAATTTTTAGCTCCTAAGAAAATGACTGGTACAAGTTATATAAATTTGAAAATTAGCTTGCATACAAATAAAGGGAAAAAGCCATTGCACGAACTCCCCGAATGTAAGGATGAAAGTTAATTTAATCCTTGTATTTCATATTTCTGTAAAGAAATTCTCAAACCGATAACCTTTTGCTGACAAAGAAGCAATCTCATCACTGTTCCAAAGTTCACCCAAATTATATAGTAAATTAAAGTTTATTCTATTGACAAAATTGCTTATTTACCGGTGATTTAGTTTTAAATTTTTACTTGATACTGCTGTAAATAGTTCCCATTTTTACTTATGAACTACATTAAAATAAAGATCAAGGCATCAAACAATATATAAAACAGAAAAGCTTTAACGATCAATGCGTTAATTTTCATTGAGCTCGATAAAACCAAGCAAAATTGACCCTATGCTCTCAAAAGCAAAGACTTCGAAAATCTGTGCCCACATAGCATTTCATAAAAACCTAGCTGAAGACAAACAAAAACTATACAGGGATAAATACAAGAGCTATACACTCAGCGTACACCAAAATCTACCGTAAGGTTACAAACAGCTGCACAGTCGGTTACCACCGCTTCATCTCTACAAAATGCGTTCAATTTACATGGCTTGTTAGTTTCTTCGCGATAAGATTTAACACACCTTGTACATACAAACTTTGAAGGCATGGCATCAGAATTATCAATTCCAGCGCATCTGGTATGCTGCCAAACGCCACAAGTTTCACATTCTAACATCCTTTCTCCGTCATCATCCTTGGCCCCACAAGTGCAATCAACTTTCCATGCCTCGGTTCCTCTTTCCATGCGGAATCGACTTAGCCCGTGTTTGGCTGGGCATTTACCTCGAATTTGGACTGATCCACTTGTTCCAAGCAGGAATTTTACAGTGAGCGAATCACTGATTGACCCAAATCCTAGGAGATCCTCAGCTTTAAACCTCTTATACATTGCATATACATCTTGAAAAGCACTTGCGGCTTCGCTTTTGAGGTCAGCAGCAGTAGCGTTCAAAGGCAACACAATTAACTCTGGCGGTGGGGGTGGATCGTCTTTAGGCTGATCAGAAAGCTCCACATGACACCACAGCCTAATGTCTGAAGGCATTTCTAAGGCCATTTCATTCGGCTTGTAATCCTTCATAAACTGCTTACAGTCAAGTAGCTTCCTGGCTGAATCAGCAACCCTTTTCCTCATAATTTTAGGTCTGTAGCTTACTAATTTGTCAGGATGAATAATTGAATCAAATAAGAATGTCAAATCAGAGATCACTTGCTCTTCTGACGGATAGCTTGAATTTGCACTAAATGCGTTACCCAAAGGCTCTAGCCTGTTGATAAAGATATATCATATAAGCATTAGTTGCGCTAGTACAGAAGGAATTGACAAAAGGAACATCTTCAATCTTACCTGAATTCGACAGCACTAGAAATGGGATTGCATCGTGAACAAACTACCATTCCATTGGAAGCTAATTTCCCTTGTAAGTGCTTAAGACCGTAATCTAGAAGCTCTGGAGATGCAACACCCCTGCATACTGCACCCTTGAGAGTACGCCTTGACACCCATTTGGCCTCACTATAGGCACCTGATGCAAGCAGTACCTTGATCAAAGCCTGTTGCACATCTTCAACGTCATTTCTCGTCCAAACACACAATAAATTAGGCGTGCTAGTGTATTCATGCCGTTTAGATGTGCTCGTGGTCATGGGCTTACGAAGTTCATGAACCAATGTCAACAAAAAGGAGAAGATATCTTTAATTGTTAGAAGTTGAGTATCAGCCAAAGACTGGTAAAGAGAAATGACACACTGGAGGCGGCTTCGTTGTCCTCGACCCTGAAATAAAAATGAGGACAAGGGCATGCTTGACAGGGTATTCACTGCTTTCTGGTACGCATCTTGGGTAAGAGCATAGCTGCCAGTCCCAAATTTATAACCCCAATTGCCATACCAGGAGTATCCGTTGGTGATTGCATGAAGCAATCGATATTCCACCCCAAATTTCTTGGACAAATCCATCACACTAACCTTCCTGCTTAAGTAAATAACACAAGAAGCTAAAAATACGAAAGGGCAAGCTCAACCTGAAGTAAAATGTGAGAAAGTTGAATGATTCAGACCTAACAGAAATTGCAGCACAGAGCCTATCCCAGAAACCCATAATATCAGATCCAGAGAGAAGCTTCGATCCACCTTCTCGTCCATTGAGAGTAAGGAGGTGACCATAACCATTGACGTGAATAACACCATGGAGAAGATGGGTGTTATCCTCAATTTGAAGATAAACCCAATCCTCAAGATCATCAGCGGTAGTGGCGAAGTTACACGATTTACACCTGCATAAAGATGTCAAATAACACAAATGAATAGGTAGGTACTTTGCATTCAGAAATCAACTCGGAAAAAGTAGAAATCCCGACCTGGGTTCAGATAATTGGAGAAGACTTCCACATCTTGAACAAGGTCTTCTATATGCTTCGATGGCGTTACTTGCCGCCCTTATTATGAAATGATATCGCTTTCGACATACAGGATGCCCACTCCACCCTTTTTTCAACAAAATAAATCAACCATTACAACTTAATCACATGCATACTAATAATAATGATAATAATAATAATATTATTATTATTATAACAATCAAAAAGATTATTCTTACGACGTATCTTTCTTCGTTTACAATATCTTACAACCATATCTTTTACAAACTTTAACCATATCTTAACCGTTGATTGCTAACCGTTAAGATTTTGACAAAACAAATTTATTTATTAATTATTAATTCTCAATAAATAATAACCGAAAATCAACAAGATATGATCGTAAACGAAATGAATTATAAGTATAATCTTTCCTTATAACAATAATAATAATTATTATTATAATGATAATAATAATTTACCGACGTAAATGAATTATGACCAATTTAATATATTTAATAAAATTAGGAAAAAATATTATTGTATTTAGAAGAAAAAAATAATAAAATCAAATGAATGACTCTATACTTAAAAAGTTACTTTATAACCGTTAATTATATTTAATTTCAGCATACAAACTTTAAAGAGAAAACAAGAATCTAGTGTAAATAAAAAATTGGTAATATGAATATAAAAATAATTAAAGGGTTTAATATTTCTCTGTATTTAAGAAATACATATTTTCTTTTTCTTTTTAGCTCTTCTTTTTTCAAAAATTTATATGTGTTTAGAAAATAAAAATATTATTCCCATAAATAAAATAGAAAAAGTAAAGTTTTCAATTGAACAGAATAAATTATTATGAGCCTCGAGTTTCAGACTGGACGATTCGACTCACCAACGACTCGGCACTGGTCGCAGTAGACTGAACTGCGAGAACGAGTGACGTCTTCCTCGACAATGTCGAGTGTGACCGTGGCCGGCGAGAGATCGGGACCGTCGACGAGTTCACCGACCCGAAACAAGATCCGCCACGTCATGAGGGAAGGAAAGAGCGAGGGAGGGAAAGTGATGCGCGCGTGGTCGTAGAGGAAGCGCTGAACAGAGTTTCGGAAGGCTACAGAGGAGGAGTCGTCTCCGGCAGCGGGGAAAGTGAGAAAATCATAGAGATCGGCGGTGACCCTCCTCTTCATCCTCTTCGCGGGTCTCTCGTTGACCACCATGGTATGCCTGTACTGTAGGGTTAAAAACGACGCCGCATCCACGGTCCAGTAAGGATAGGAGAAAGAAAAAAAATTAGATCTAGATATAAATTAGTTATTAGGTTTGCGACTGTGTTTTGTGTGTGTGTGTGTGTGTGTGTGTGAGAGAGAGATAAACAGTTGCAGACGACACGACGGCGCGGTGGAGGAGAAAGCGCTAGCTAGTAGCTGTTAGGGTTTGTTTGTTTGTTTTTGATTTTGTATATATCCACTTCTTGCGATGGCATTATTGTCATTCGCCTTTCTATTGGCAGTTCTCTCTCTCTCTCTCTCTCTGCTGTCTTTTTAATATCTTCGCCCGTTTTAACTTTTTTTCTTTCTTTTTTAATTATTCTCTCAAAACGTTACGCTGGACCACCTGATTCTTCTTTTTTTTATTTCACTTTTAGGCAAGGGTGAATTTTAAGGGTTTGCTGTTGGTCCTTTTTTTAGATGAATTACAATTGGTTTATTTTAAGTGAGAAAAAAATATACACACAAATGATGGAAAACAAATTTGACCATTTTTTTATTTTAAATTTTAAATAAAAAAATATTAATTTTAATTAAAATAACTATCATTTAAAAGGATATATATTTTTCTCAAATTTTAATTAGTAGGTACCTAGTACATTTTAAAAATAAATATATAAACTTAGATAAAAATTAAAAACATGAAATTAAAAAATGTATATATAATTAATATAGCATAGTTTGAAAATAAAATATATTAAAAGATAAAAAATACTAAATATTAAAAAATATGCATAACTGACTAAAATAATTTATATTTAAAAGAAAACAAGTTGATATGTTCTAGAGTGAATACCATTTTCGGTCCTCAGTAAATTTTACAATGTTCGCTTTAGTCCCTAGCAAATAAAAAGATTATTCGTGGTTCTTAAAAAATTCAAAGTGGATCTATTTTAGTTCTTTTGAAGATTAATATGGGTCTTTTTTGAATTTGTGAGGTACCATAATTTCAATTAAATGGATCCATTTTGAATTTGTTAGAGACCACGAATAGTCATTTTATTTGTTAGGGATTAAAGCGGCTATCGTAAAATTTACTACCAAAAAAAGATATTTACTCTATGTTGTATTAAGGGAAAATAAATTAAAGCTGTACTTGGATTGATGGAATGGATCACACAAAATCGGATAATATAAGTTGTAATTATTTTGATAATTTAAGATATAATAATAAAAGTGTTGGGTGAATCTGATATCCATGTGATTGTGATTATGTTACTTCATTCGTATACGGTGAAAAAAGCTTAAGGATATATGGAGCATTTAAGGATAACGATTGAGCATCTATTGTCATTATTAGGATATTATTTGCCTTATTTAGATTGATATGATATAATTGTAGAATTAATGTGAAAAATTACATTTGTTATAAATTGATATTGTATTGATTTTCTTATTATGTATAGGGAGGGTGATAAAAGCAACGAGAGAGCACGAATAATATATGAAAAGATTATATTGGGTGCGAAACATTAAGATGATATACAAGTTAAAGCACTTTTCTTTTTTTTGGTAAATAAAGTTAAAGCACTTAAATTATGCAATCTTACTCATCTTTTATTTTTATTTTTATTTTTCAAAAAAAAAAAATCAAATAACTTTTCTGCAAGAAAAACTAAAAATTGTGATACTATTTTTAGTGAAAAGTGTTTCTCTTGTCACACGAGATAAAGTTATCCAACAATCTCAGAATTAATTCATTTTGGAGATTAAGATAATTAATGAAGAATACTTTACAATTTTTATTTATTTTCCTTGTTATATGAATTTTACGAAAATACCATTTATTAATTTTCTCAATCCTCAAAACGACATAGTTTTAGAGTTGTTTTATCTCTTGTGGCAGGAAAAATGATGAACCCCTATTTTTATATAAGAAATAAATATATTATCAAGGTATAAAATAAAAGTATAGTTGAAAATGAAATAATGTAATTTATTATATTTTACCATAATTTTTTATTTTTGTTCCTCTGATTTTTTTAGTGATCTAGACCTGACTCATGGGAGATTGAAGTCCAATCCAAAGAAGGCCCAAAAGTCCCATAAACCATTACTTTGCCATGAAGTGAACTAGGGGTGTAAATGAGCTGGGCTAGGCTAAACTTTGGCTTAAATAGACTATTAAGCCTGTGTAAAAAGTATTGGGTATGTCTTGACCTATTAGCTTGTGTAGGCTCCAAATTACAAGTCTAGTCTGACCTATATTCAAAAAATAAAAGTCATGACCTAAGTCTGTTAGCTTGTTTAAGCCTATTAAACATTCAACAATTAAATGAATAACCAAAATAATATTATTTTATTATTCAAAATTATTAAATAATAATTTTATTTATTATATTTTAAATAAATAATATGATATAGATCAACCTGTAGGCTTATAGGCCCGACATGTACAAAAAAACATATGACATGTTTTCTAAATATGTTTTTTAAAAGCCTAGGCCTATTCTATTTTACTACTTATAATAGGTCAAGTCTGGCCTAAGATAGACTAGACCGTAGACCTCTATAGGCCAGCCTATCCCATTTACACTCCTAAAGAGAAGATGTTGAGCTCGCGTTCAACTAAGCATTACATTTACCAACAGCTCAGTCAGACCTTGTGACATTAGCGGCTCAAAGCGAATAAATTTTTGGTACTGCTGTTGTACCTAGATTCAGTGCATTCCATGAATGAGAGCCTTACATATCAGATGAGAGAAAAAAAATTTGACAGAAAAAAAAATATTTTAACTGACATGTAATATTTTCATTGGTGGAATGCACTGAATCTTTGGTACAATAGTAATACCAAATATTTATTCGCTCAAACCAATTTGGTCACCACATGAACCAGTGAAAGGTTGCCACTTCCCACAAATAAGAATGAACACCACACAGAAGCATTCAGCCTAGACAAAATCATCAGTTCATTAATACTTAAACTACTTGAATATTGAACACCGTGAATCCCCTAAATATTTGTCTATCACCCCCTTCAATATCCTTTACCGCGTAAATTATCTTGCCAACAACACCATATTTTTGTCAGGCACTTTCCAACTCTTCTCTCCATCAATAGTATCAGATTCAACTATATGTGATTCAGCTCAATTGTTATTGAAGTGATCATTTAGCATGAGATCTAATATCATGAAATAAATTATTACTAATCTCTTTCCGTTTTCATACTCTTCAAATAATGTAATCTACTTTTCAAATAAAGCAATGAGAATTATCTTATGTTTCATAAAAAAATATCTAAATAATAATATGATAATTTTATTTTATTTTCGTTCCACCTATTATTGGATATCCAAACACAATGTAGAATATTAAGTTACTGTCAATCACAGTGGGCTCTAATTTAATATATAGGGTCATTAACGCTGATACGAGTAAACTTAATGGAAAGTTTGTGTATCCAAAAAAAATAAAAAAATGGAAAAGTTTGTTCTTAATTACAAAAGTGTGGGTCGTGGGAGGGACGGTGACAAAAAGTGATGTCCCTATCCTAAAAAAGAATTCGACAAAGAAAGGCGGGTCCGCTTTGAATTCCCAAAAGGAAACTTAATCAAATAAAAATAGTATTTTAATTAAACAAATATTTGTTGTATTATATTATAAGATTGGTACACGTCATGAACCATGATAATAAAATAAATATTTCATTTATCCCAATTCCCAAGCAGTGGGGTGAATAGGATCTGTGGACAAAGGCGGTTCTCCTTGGCTTTTTTGAGCTTGAACGCGCGCGGGCGCGCCTACCAACAATTTTTTGAATTTTCATTTTCGCACTCAGAACCATACTTTTTTTAACGTCCGGAAATATAAATTTTGATATACTAACTTCAAATTTTTTTATTTATTTATATACTTATGTTTTCAGTAAACATTCAATTTTATGAGTTTAGATATTAATTTAAATATTTCTACAAATATTTTAAATATAAAATTTTACTATAATTATAATAGATTAATGTTGTCCTTTTAAAATATATAAAATTGTATCATTTAATAAAAACTACCTTATTTTATAATGAGAGAAACATGAATCATGAAAAAAGAAAGTGGTTTTTTTTCTAATTTAAATATTAAATAAATAATAATAATATTTTAACTAAAATAACTGTAATTTAAAAGAATAAACATTTTTCCTTAATTATAAATGTTAATACATTATCACACTATTTTATTTTAAAGTATACAAATTATTATAAAAACAAGTAAACATTAAGTAATAAAGTATAAATTATAAAAATTTACTGTACATATTACATAATTTTTAAAGGGATATATTTTTCTTATATTGTAGCAAAAAAATTATCTCATGTTGTAGAAATAAAAGTATAAGTGAGACCCACAAGTAAGAGGAGAGAGAGATAAAAAAATGATGAAACTCAACCTCTTTTTGTCTGTGTAGGAAAATTATTTATCTCATGTAAAATGAGATAAACAAACCCATTTTTAAAATGATATTATATGTAAAAATTTATTTTATTATGTTAGTATCCATTAGTTATATAAAGTTTAACTGTTCAAGTGAACCCCTCCCTTTTTTAATATCAAAACAGTCATGTTTTGGTTACCAAAAATAAAATAAAGTATCAAAATAGTCTGACGGATCCCATTTACGTTTTATACTTCGTTACGTGGCATTAACTTATGTACGTATTCTTGTCGTTATTGAAATAGATAAAATAATTATTTATAATTAGCTAATATAATCAAATGAAAAATATAGAATATTGGAAATTGAAAAGCCAAACAAAATGAAAGTTATTATAGATATTGTCCCTCGACGAAATTCGATAACAAATTTCTTTTAAAATAAAAGGAAAATATGCTCAATTCCTCATAATACAAAAGTAGTAAAACTATAATTAATCACTTTAGTGAATCAGAGTTCAACGTTCCAAACAGCTCCATCTCCCTCTCCGCAAGCTTTGTGTATATCCTTCATTCTGTCCACGGACTTGCAGATACCACTGCATGACCAATCAAAAGACGCCACGCACACATTTCCTGTCCTCGCCTTCCAATCACAGTCTGTGTGAACAAACAAGATAAAATTGAGCAAATTTTACAAATAAGAATATTTTCTTTAAAACACTGTGGATTTGTGGGACACAAAATATCTCTGTTGAGATAAGAAACAAGGGCCAATTCACCTGGGGGGGTCCCGCAGCACATAGAGCGCGCATCGATATGTTCAACTTCTAGGCCCAATAACCATGAACCTAAAGACACATCTTCATTTGCGTATCTGTGCAATATGGGCCTGCAATGTAGATTTGTATGTGATATCCAAAATCTAATATAATCAAACAATAGTTAATTATTAAAGCATTTCGTATGCGTTTTTTTTTTTTTTTTAAGTAACTTGTTTTCAGTGGTTGCTTTGGTTTTTTTGTGTCTTTCCATTTTTTGAGGGTACATTTCATATCTGCACTATTCCATTTTATTAATGTAAATCAAGAAAGATATATGTTAGCCCTTCGAGTTCTTGAAAATCATTATCTATTTTAAAATTTTATTAATTAAATGATTGAACTTTGGGAAAGGACGATGGAATCACCAGTTGATGGATATATAGGTAGCAAGATCCTTGGAGATGGCATATATTTGGCCAGTGGCATGCCTGAAATACTTGTTCCCTTCTTCTCCAAACTTCCAGTGCTCTGCCTCATGATACTTTACCCCTCTGCCGCAGAAATTAAAAAAGCGTTACTTCATATAAATGACTAACCACATCCCTACACTAATATTCAATGTTAATTAATGTTTGAAAAAAAATAAGAAAAAACTCACTTTTGATATAGAACCGGACCAGATTTCATGCAACCAATATAAACTCTGGGTCTTGATCGATACTTAGCAAGTGTACTCACTAGCATACCTGCATTATAAAGAAAGAAAGAAAAAATGATATAAGTTTTAGTGTTAATTGATGCCTAAATATACTAGTTTACAAGAAGGAATACATGTAATTAATGTACAGATTATTAAATTGTAATTAAGAGTTTGCGTCACATACATACGGACACACGGTACTTAATTCAAAATTATTATTGAAGCAATATCAAATACTCATCAGTAATTTAGTAGTTTAACAGCAAAAAAATGGAAAAATATTTTTTTTTCGAACTTCTCTGTAAATTACCTGAGAATCAAAAACACGTACCTAGATTTAAATGGACATCATCGTCTACCTTGACATAGAAATCAGCATCCCACATAGAAATAACAGTGGAAAAGTAGAGGCGTGTCTTCGTGGATAGCTCATGATAGCCCTCAACGTGGTCTAGCCTGAGGAAATCGTTGTGTTCTGCCTCTTCTGCATCAATTGCTTTATCAAGAATGCCCCCTGGTGTCGTGCTATGCCCGATCATGAACCTTATAACAATCCCCTTCTCTTTCTCTAGTTCCTTAAGTTGCTTTCCTGTTTTAATTTTTAGTTGACTTTGACTTTTTAATAACACATTTATTGAATCAGTGGGAATTATATATAGTAAGAATAACTAGGATTGGACGTTCAACACCCTTTTGATTTAGAATTAGAGGTAACATGTACCTTTAGGTAACCATGTTCCGCGTATGGAATCTCTTCGTCTTTTGCTGCTAAAGGCAGTGTTAATACCAATCACCACAAAAGCTTTCTGTATATTGTAGTTAGAAGCATGTTGCCGCAAGTGCTGCCCACCAGTTTGGCTTGTCCTAGCTGCTGTCAGTTCCATTTCCAATGTTGAAACTGCCTTATCAAGAGACCTATTTTTGTCCACAAACAATTCATTTCACACATTATTATTAATTAATACAAATATTAAAAAGTAAATGTGCAAGTCTTCATCATATCATATATCTTTCTCTATATATATTTATCTTACTTGATAGCTTGATGGGTCTTTGTGACTTCCTCCATTACATCACCAGGTCTGCCTTCAATCAATTTCTGTTTTGAAAAATGAATGACATAATTAATTTTTTTTCTACATATATAGTTTCAAATAATGAAGCACTAGAAAATACAATATATACTCACTCGCTTATGATCACAATCACGTCTTGCAGGGAGTAAAGATTTTTCATGGTTGGAGGGGCGTGTCCACATCTGGCCAGTGAACAGTGTTCCAGCAAGAAAACATGCAATGCATAGAAAAAAAATGGCCTTTCCTGAAGCCGGTTTTCCCCTCATCTTTTTAATGTCGTTGCTGTACTCACCAAGCTTCCCTGGCAGCACCCTGAACTTAAATTGGAACTTGGGGATGATTTTCATGGAAAAGTGTTAGTACATAAATGACACTGTTGAACAATATATTTGAAATCAGTTGAGCATGGGCATACATATAGACATGCACCAACTATTTCCCGGGTTAGGTTGCGGGAATAAAGTAAATGAAGCTCTGTGAACAATGTGAGTTACCTTAATAAGCCAAAATCTTATGATCTTCCGTTTGTTGATGTAATTGTCGGTATACAAAAAAATAAGGTTAATCTAACTTTTAACTCTTCATTGCCATAAAAAAGGGAGGGTCTTGGGCTTATCATGTGAGCATGTGTGGGATGTTCATAATTAAGAGCAATGAATGTGTGAAGCATAAATGTTTATCTCGCTTTAGAGTAGACAAGAAGCCTAATTTTAATGCCATTTTTGTCAGTCACAAACTAACTGAAAGGTATGGACAGCCACGTATATGAAATACAGGCAGGCCTGAAATCATTGACTTCTTACAAATTGCTTGTCTTGCTTGTAAACAAGTGTAATCTCTTAACCGCATACTCATCAATTCCTAAGCATGTTGAGAGGAGGGTTTAGGCTTTGATGAATCACTACAATGGGGGTTATCAATCTACTTTTAAGTTGTATAAATGTGCCAATAAACTCCCCAATTTTTACTTTTTACAATTTACCTTAATTACCGGAATTATGAAAAATAAAAAGCTGATCAATATTGAAATAATGAACAAAGTATTATAAAACTAGACCAGGTGATGTGTCCAATTACCTGAAAATGATGTGTTTGATGATTGCAGGATCATGTCAATTTTGACTGAAAATCTTTAAAATACAAGTATAATAAGCGTCATTGGCAGCAGTTTCTAACAATTTACCTATCTCTAGGTCTCTATATATGCCATTATAGTTATATGGTGAGTTTCGATAGCTAGGATATTGGCAGTTTGATCATGTGGGTTACATGATGCAACAAATTCAGCTATTAACAAAAAAAGAACTTCATTCCTCTATTTGTGTGGGCAATCACTCTAACGCCAATTACGTGTGTACTGAAATTTTGCTTGCTGCCTAAACTGACTGTCTTCGTGTGAAATAGGGATGAGAGAGAGTGAGAGAGAGCAGCACATGTTAGTACAATACCACAATTCACCGATTTCAAATAGATTTTAGGGTTTGGTGGATAGAAAAACCAGAAATCACGGTGCTTACATTCCTAAGTTAAATCATGACCAATTTCTTTTGGAGCGCTTTGGTATAAGAGAAACTTTTTTAATCCAGGAAATAATTATTACTGAAATATAGAGAAAAATATATTTTACTGGAATGTTACTAAAAAGCTGTTTGATAGAATCAAATTTACCAGGGAAACTATGAATAAATTTACTGAGTGTATGTTTGGTTGGTTGTAATATATTTGTGGAAATGTGAGATTATTTTACGAAAATAACCTCAACCGTACCTTATGTTTGAAATATTATATATGGCCTCTATTCGATGAAAACGACGAAAGTACCTTTTACCTTTTTCGAAGACTATATCAACAGATCGTACACATTGAGGGGGCAATTTAGTAAACATTTTGGCGCTTTAAATTTGGCTTCCCTAGACACTATAATTCCACCAATTCTATAGATTCTAATTTGACAAACAGTACCAAAGTTAACACACAGAACCATTTTCCTGGAATGATATTTGGCCCGGGAAATTTTCATAATTGAGCTACCAAACGCAACATTCTTTGTTCCCCTACCATGCTTTCTCGAGTTTTCAAATAAAAGTCGTATACCAAATGCTTTCTTAAGGGGATATTTGGTATGAGTATTTTAGTTGGAATGATGGGAAAGTGGGGTGGAAAATATTTATTTACCATATTTGGTATAAGGAATGTGAACAAAATGCCAGCAATTTTTTTTTTCCATTTGAACTAAACGAAGCTAAAAAATTATCTCATCTAGGCTATGGTAATTTTTTTATAACTTTTTTAGACAAAAATACCCTGCTGAACTATATGACTGCATAGATATTTTGATAATTTCAATTCACATTCCCATCAATATTTTACCATCAACTAAACGTTTTTTCGTAACTTACCCGGGACAAAAAAATTCCTATCAAATCTTTAACAATCTTTTATAAAAAAAATATCTCATATACCAAACGCCCAAATTAGAGCCCCATACCTTTATATTATTCTACTTTATTAGAGGGAACTCATCGCGCTGTGGATGATTTGCATAATGCTCGTATCAACTAGTATAGGAAAGTAACAATTATATCGATGAATAAAACAAAATGAATTAATAACTATTGGTAGATATATAGGTAACAAGTAGTAAGAGAGATTATTGAGTACATTAATGCATACAGTTTGACGTATTAAACAATTCAACAATCAATACATTATCATTTAAAATATTTATGTGTGACACAATGATTTAGTTAATTATTTAAAATTGATTGATTAGTTCACATACATATACCATATGCATACAAGAACTTCTCAGAAAAAAGTTGATAACTCACACACAATGAGTGACGGAGTGAACTGCAGAAAAATTATTCTTGTCCAAATTCTTTTTTCACAAGCTTTTACAGGCTTCTTTCATAATTGATTTTAATTTGATTTTAATTTGATTTTCATAGTATGTGTTAATTTTACCAATGATATTTCCGTATCATATCATTGAAAGAGTTTAACTTTTCAATTGTCATAATCTTATTATTTAAAGTTAGGGGCAGTTATATTTACAAATTTTTTCGTTTACAAACTCTTACAAACTACACTATGTTCTCCACGGAAGAATACTGGTTACACTACGTTCTCCCGGGAGAACATAGTGTAATTTGTAAAAAAAATTAAAAAATTTTATAAACGAATCCTTACTTTTAAAGTTATTATATGACACTGATTACACCGTAAGCTAAAACAACACTGCATGGTAGGTCTAATTTATTTATTTATTTATTAATTAGAAAACGGTAAGCCTAATTTAATTATTGTTTATGTTACGATTAAAATATTGGCTAGAATGAGACAAATATTCTATTCAATTCTCATCTAAAATTATCGTAAAATGGAAATACCTTCAGATTTCTACTGAAAATAAATAAACAAATCGTAGAATCGTATATTTTAAAATCCTCACACATCCTACGGCATTTTGAACGAAAGGGTGAGGATAAAGTTACTGTTAGATAATAAATTGATGGTTTGGGTTTGATCATAATAAACGGGTCATGGGTCATACAAACATTGGTAAACAAAATTGATCAAAATATTTAGGATAAAACCGCAAAAAACGAAAGGGACTCACAGTCGACCCATTCAAATACGACCTAACCCAACCCAACCCAAATCTACTCAGACCCATCCGTTTGACCCCAGCAATTGAAATTTCTTTGGGTCTTTTTTTTAAGTAAAAAAGTAAAAGAAAGCGGTACGTAGTTACGTACCAAATTTCCGATTATTTAAGGGATTTCACAGAAAATATATTTTTTAAATCAATTAATTCATGTAACTAATCTCTCAGCTAATAAGATAAACCATTTTTTTTTATCATATACACTGTTCAACTTGTATGTATTTCCTTTATTGTCTAAAGCAATTGTCAATTGAAAGCTCGAGCAAGGAACAAAAAATAATTTTATGATACTAAAAAGTTATACCAAAATTGGAATTCCCCATCGGAAATTAAATAAAGATAGTTAATTATGTCACTTGGAGTAAATTATTATCTTTTATCAGAGTAAATTATTACTTTAGTAGATAAAAGATAATGTTAATATTAATTTAGTCACGTGAGAACCGTGGACGAAATCAATGAATAAAATTGAAAAAGTAATATTAATTCAAATCTGAATGACAAAGAATAAGATCAATTTAATTTAATTATCTCAATCATAAAAAGATGACATCAATTCAATCTTTCAATCTCAAAATTTATATACCGAAATATGATTTCAATATTATATATTTATAACTAATAATAATAATAATAATAATAATAATAATAAAGAAAGGGTATTTTTCTTCAACTTATAATTTATCCATTTATACAGTGGTTTAGAAGCAGGTTCAGGAAACTACATTTACCCAAAAGAAAAGAGGGCACGACAGTGATTGTCTATGAATTTATACAGTTTCTACAACCAATTGCCAAACTGGCTGGCACAAAGGTTAAGGGACAAAAAAGAGAAAGACAAAATAGAGAGACTAAAAAAGGGTGGGTGTTGTTGATGCCATCGTATTCATGAGAATCTCATCATTGAAATTTAATACTTCGTTCCATGTCAATTCTCCAAGAGAGGACTCTATCCTAAGGGGACTCATAAGAGGAGCTTCTTTCACATCCTCAAACGACGTCGTCCAAATGGAGTCTTCTCCTAAATGATCCCACCAATCCACGGAATCTGTTTTTGCAGAAGAAGAAGAGCGTGGCGGAGCCTGGTGTTGGCTCCGTTCCTGAACCAGCTCCAGAGCCGCTTTTGCAGCCGCCGATTGAATGTCTCTCCTTGATGAAGACAGAGGACGAGGTAGCGACTCAACCAGGTGTGGGAAATTAAGGTTAGCAGAGCTTCCTTTCAAGAAGAAAGCCGCTGAGTCATATGCTCGAGCCGCCATCTCCGCCGACCCGAATGAACCGAGCCATATCCGGGTTTTCTGACCCGGCAACCTTATCTCCGAAACGTAGCGTCCCCAGCTGCGTTTGCGCACCCCACGGAATGCCGAATCAGGGTCACGGGCACGCTTCCTGGAGCCCCGTTTGGTTGATGGGCCGGGTGCAGTGGCTTCAGCTTCAGCTTGAGCTTGAGCTTCCCGTGTGATGGACATGGACAAGAGAGTGAATCAACTGAGAGAAAAGAGTGAATGATGATGAGTTCGGGTTTAATGCTTAGAGGGGGGTTTATGTAGACAGAGTCGTTTCTCAATTGTGTACTGAATCTAGCTGGCATTGTTTTGCGAATCCGTGGCTCCCACAGGATTTTTCTTGAATAATCATATTTTATCCGTATCTATATTTGCAACTACATGGGTAATATTACAATCATGACCATGGATGTTAAATTTCATTTTTATACACACAAAAAGTTAGTATGTTAAATACTTGGTTTTTATTTATCATTTCTCAATCCCTAATTAAGTTAGTATTCTAATTATATTTGCTGGCAAATTTAAAATATTTTATATCATTAGTTAATGATCAACGAGTGTAAAATGATTTACCATACTAAATTAAACTCGTAATTAATGTAATTCAAATAATTTCAGAAGCGATGAATTCACTCAAGTTTTGTTTGTAGTTTAATGTGGTTCCCATATTACATCAATTGGCGTGTCTTAATTGATCACTTATTCTCGGTTGATCCTAGTAAGACCTGCCCAACTTTAAGTATATCCGTTAATTAACTAGGGTCACTAGGATTTGTCTCCTCATAGGCATCGCTTACTTGTCCTTTAATTCTAATTTGCAATAGAAGTTTGCTATTTACCATCCTCCATTTGTCAATTAGTTAAAGTTCATCATGTCAAGTTGGTTAGGTTACACTAACTGACACAATGCAATTAGTGTTTATTTTGTCAAGTAACTTTCCAGTCCGTTCTTGGCAACTTCTTAACAATTATCCTAACAGCTTACTGCCATATTTGTACCTTTCACCAACAACAAGTTAAATTGGTTAGGTTTCGAATAAAGATGGATAAATATTTTATTCAGTATCCTAGGTTAATGTGATAATTACTCTATGAAAGCATAGATTGTTTAAAATGTACATTAAATATACCACTAGCATATCATCCACGCAATGGCAAGATAAGAACAAGCTTTTAATTTTTTTAAAATTAATATAATATAAATAAAATAAAAATATTAAAAGATAAGCTCTAAAATTTTACATTGGAACAAGATATATTGATAGATTTTAGAATTAATCTATGGAGAGAGTTAAAGTTTATTTCAAAAGATTACACAAGTTAAGCAAACATAATATTTTTTTTAATTGATTAAGTTTATATAAGTTATGCTTGATTAATTCATGTCAAAATCCTTCTTATATTTAAATTAAAAAGTAATCATTTCATAGAAAAATATGGTAATATAAAAACCTCCATAATAGCAAAAGAATGTGGATGGGCATTGGTTTTATTTGGTCGAGAGTTTACTAATTATTTATTTTTCACCTACCGAATGTAACATTTTTTAAACAGGAAGACAAATGTACCAACAGTACAAGGTAAACATTTCTCGAAATCGAGAGAGACAATGCAACCATTTTATTTTTACCCCAGGGGTCATCTGTACATCAGCATGACATTATTCAGGAATGAATTTTCTTTTATTACAATTGCAAATTGTTACAATACTCATAAAAAGTAAAAACACGTGAATGGATCCTCCCGAAAAAGTAAAAACGTAGTTACATATATGTAAGGTATTTTTTGCTTCTTATATTGTGTCGCAGAAGAGGATAAGATAAAAAGGTTATAGTCGTAAATTAGGGGCGGGGAAAAGGACAGGAGAGTAATGTACGATTCATCATCATAAACGCGTTAGGACAGCTGGATCTGAATAAAAAAGAGAAAAAACACAAAAATGTTAATGAATCGCAAAGAATACGAATAGATGCAATGCAGCGAAGGCAGGCAGGCACTTATCACAACGTGTTGACTCCAACGCGCATTAAAATCAAAACTCGAACCATCGTACGTACTTATTGTCCTTCCCATCTTGTACCCAAAACTTGCATCATTCATAGCCTTGTCCTATTCTTGCCATTACTACTGCAACAACTGTACTACAGCTACTCCAATCATGCGCTCAATTCCGTGTTATTCACTTTTTTTCTCCGTGTTATTCCGGTGTTTCTTTCTTTCAAGTACAGACCTTGAATTAGAGAAGATACAAAAGCGTTTCCCGGTGTGCACTGATTAGTGTTTAGATTTATTTAATTTTTATCATAAAATCGTTTCTAAATATTTTTAATCACATCTGGCGTATATGTTATTTTAAACATAAAATAAATTAATTTAAATAGAAATTATTCATGAAATTATGATCCTGACACCATTTCAATTCTTTCCTGTGCATGTCAGGTTGTTGAATATTGCATAAATAACAACAGCATGCACACATTGACACACACGAGACTGATCCTCACTCTCTTAAGAAACATTGAAGGGGTCACCCTTGGCCTTGTTTAGGTTTCGCAGCAACATATTGCCAAACAGTTTCGTATCTTATTTTTGGAATTTAAGCTGTAACGCCTCCTGATTTAGAGTTAGGCATTCCCCAATTTACATCGAGTTGCCAATTTTAGGTCAACTGCAATTTATCGCGAAAGCCCTGATAAAATTCACCTGATTTGGAGTGTTTTTGTTATTATATCACCTAAAAATAAAGGTTGAACCAAAAAAAATGGGAAAAGGGGCTTTGTAGATTTGAATTACTTCATAATGTTGATTCTGCGTGTTACCTCCCCGCATTATCATACAAAATTTAACTTTACCCTTGCTATTTTGTTATTGAAAAACTTTATATCAGTTAGATTCCTTGATACTGTAATATGTATCACTTAACTTCTTAAGTGCCAAAAATATTTTTATCATGTAAAATGTTAAAAATATTCTTAAAACAAAACATTTTTTTTACTTTAATTACTATTTTGTCCCGTTCATTGTCTTCTCCTGTTGTGGTGAGCTCATCTTGGCAATTTCAGTGAATAAGTGATAGTGTTCTCCCTAATACATGAACAGAGGTGGAATCGTAAAACTTTCAAAACCAGAAAATCAATACAGAAACATTTATTTTTTCAAAAGCCCATCCAAATAGAAAAACAAACAATTTATAGATTTGCGGTGTAATTGAAGCCCATATTTACCTCACAAATTGTCTGTCGTATTTATTTTTTAGAATTATCATACACAAGACTTTTCTTCCCCAATGGAATAATGATAAATAAATAATTGTCATTGTTATGTTGCAAAAACCACATTTGCTTCGAAAACTTGAGGTAAAAGAAACATCAAAATAATCAAAACCAGATAAAATGCATGTAAGATAATATATATTAGAAGAATGACATCAAAAGTCTGAAAACCAAGCTGCAGAAAGCTAGAATTTTCAATCGGTAAAGTGACTACCACTAACATCAAAATGAAAGAAATATATGACTTCCTCGGTAATTGAATGTTGGCGTTGTCTTCAAAAGTAATCTGCAGCTTGGCCATACGGACTGCTTCACTTGTCTGCGCATAGCATGAAAAAAGCGTCAAAAGTCAATGCGACAGTGGCTATAATCACCCTATTATACTTCTTTCTTGTTGTCACTATCAGCCCAGGTTCGAATGCCCAGAATTTTACAAGACTATTATTCTCTGAACAGCCAACATCCATTCACAGCTTGACCATTACACCTATAGCCAACAGATACCAAGGCCACTTAGCTTCTATTGTTCTACTTAGAATCCGTTTGATTTGTTAAAAAAAATAAGGAACAACACATCACAAAAAAAATTGTTCAAATAGGATAAGTATTGACAAAAGGCAAATCAAGAAAGCAAAAATCTCCAAAAAAAAAAATTACCTACTAAACCAAGTTACGAAATTTTGTCCACAATGTACACAAGAAGAGAAAAAAGACCCACTAACCCAAACCCCTTGTTTCCTCAAATTTATTGTACACAAAATAATGCATAACACAAAGGGATTATAATTAATTTTGCTGTAATCTTTCCATGGATATATCACAAACTTTTTAGTCCTATGACTCAACTACTGGTGCTGTACTGTTCTGTTTGTGTTATCTCTTAATATGCATCAAACATAACCTTAAGGTAGCTTCTTTGGAACACTGAACCAAAGCATTTTTATCATGTGTAATTTTTAAGAATGATTTTTTTAAACCCCATTTAAGTTTGTTATGTGCTCAACTATTAGGTGAAGTTTAGATATCTAATGGTGGTTGGGATTTGAATGGAATGGGATAGGATAGGATGAAATGAAATGGAATAAATTACTATACCATTGGTTGAATATTTTATGATAAAATAGAGAAAATATTGCACTTAATTGTTTTAGAAATGAAAGGAATAGCAAACACTAAGTTCGTTCCATCCCATATCACCAAATTGGAGGAAGAAAAATAGAGATAGTGTACAAAACAGATGGAATAGATTCCATCAGGTTCCACTCAATTCCACTCATTTCCCTCCATTCCATACCTTTTTTTTAACAATGCAAACACAGCCTTAACCAAATTTGCCAGTCATTATTGAAAACAACAAAAATTGAATGCAAAAAGAAAAGGGAAAAGTTCAAAAACCCCTCTATGGTTTCACTTAAAATCAATTACCCCCTTATGGTATATTTTTTTTATCACTTATCCCCCTATAGTTTTTTCCATCCAAGTTCATTCTTTAACACTCTGAACTTGATTAGTATGTCCATTTCACCCTTCTTCAAAACGTTTCCTCTAGCAGACGAACTGGAATTTCAACAAAGTGCAATATGCATTGTGCTTTTGATTTTGTTCCCACATGTTTTGCAATTTCATTCCAATTTTTTTTTATAAAGTTCTAGTGCTCCAACTTGATCAGCCCATTTTCCATCACTAACCCCTGCAATTTTAGCTGGTTCCATGAGTGTAAAACCCAACGAAGACATGTCAAAGTTGTATCTTCTATTAATAAAGTAGCCCGTACATAGGTCACAATTTGTGTGCTTCTGGCAAGGGTAACATTTGCGAGAACAATTAGCATGTCTCCAACATAAAACTCTAACCAATCTTTCAAGTCAACTTGTACCGTTGGATTTGAATGAAACTTCTTCCATTTAAGACGAAGCATGGAAAACCAACTATACGAGGTGTAATCGATTATGTGTCTCCAAGTTTTTGGATTGCGACTTTCAATTGTAGGGCCCTCAACATTCA